TGATATTTGTTAGCATAGTAAATATTTGCTCCTGTAATTGTCAACCTGGAATCCGCTGAGATTTTGCTGTAGAACTAGTATCTCTTTAATTTCCGGGGGGGGGATGATCATCCGTGATGTAAGAGAAAAGAATAAGAGTAATCTAGCTCCAGAAACCAATTTTTCTTAACATTTCTTATTCATAAGCAGTCAAAATAAAAATATGTTTTAAAAAAAATATGTTTTAAAAATCAAAAAAGAAAGAAAAATTAGATGCAGAATTGGTATATTAAACGAGAATTACCTGGACCGGTTTCGACAATGTCCACCGTACGATCTCCTTCAAAATGTGTTTTTTTTTTTTTTTTTAAGTTCAGTAATGCTGTTGAAACCGGTCCAGCCAATTCATTTAACATGTCAATGTTTTTGCTTATTTGCTTTTCCGCTGCTTATTTCGTTTTTTCTAAATATTACGTATTATCTAGAAATGGTCATTTTCGAAAGCATACTCTTTCAACAAATAAATTAGGACTCATTTAAGATTGCTTTTCTTTGACTATCATTCAGCAAGTTATTTTAAAATTTATAAAAGTTTTCTGCAAAGCTTTTAATAACCAACGCATTTCATATTCTTATTAGATTTATCTGAAACCGCCTGTCTGGAACTTAAAAATTAGAAGTTTCGGAGTTCTATAGAAAGCCATCAAGAGTCATGAGCTAAAATAATAAATAAATAAGACGCAAAATAAATAACTAATTAATTCAAAAATATTTGAAAGGTTTCAGATTTTAAATTACGCTTTTTTTTAGTCCAAAGGGATTTGAATCCCGAAGGACTATTAGTTTCGTTTTGGCATTTTGCGTCGGACTCATAAATGTCGGTTCACTTTTCAAACTGTTGCCACAAAATGTTAGAGTCCTGCATTATATTTGAAGAAATTAAATAATGAAAAATCTGCATAAATGTATGTATATTTCTCGTATTGTGATAAAACAACGGTACATAGAGTCATCGAATTTTGAATAACGTAATCCTCCAACGAATATGAGCATGTGGAAGACCAAATTTGAAATTTGAAATTTGTTTTATGATCGATTTCCTATTTTTTAAAACTTTGACGAATTTTTGATTAACAAACTCAAGGATTTCAAAGCGAGCAATGGCAACGTTGTGCAGAAAAAAAAACATTTTTATCTCCAGCGCGCGTGAGTCTCTGTATCGGAAATTCTAAAGATATGCTCGTTTTAAAACTATTTTGCGATATTGCTGTTGCACTGGATCTTATGGTTTAAGTGCGAGGAACATGATATTTAATAAAGAAAGGTAAACACACAAATGTTAAAAAACGCCCCTTTGGACGTAATTTAAAATCTGAAACATTTCAGATTTTTTTTTTTTTTTTAATTAATTTAATTAACTTTTACATTGTTTCTTTGTGAAATTTGATGAATCGCATGATTTGAAGTTTTTTTTTTTAGAAAGGTTTGGCAACAATTTTCATGTATTTTATTAGTTTTAGGATGTATTTCATTGCATTATATTAATACTTTATTTGTTTGAAAGTTGTTCTGCAGAGTAAAATCGTGTGCGGAATTTTTTTGTTTTTTGAGTTTCTTTCATGTTATTTTTTGCTTTTGCATGATTTTTTTTCTTCAACGGAAAGTTAGTTAATTTTTTTATTAGAATAATTAATATTTGTATTAAGGGATATAGCTTATTTCATTGTAATTTTTTTCTCTTGAAAATATAAGATAAAATATCATTAATTATACTTTGCTTTTCAGAATTTTTTGTTTTTTGTATTCTTTTATGTTATTTATTGCTCATTTCACTGTCTTTAAGATTTGAAAAGTTTTGAGTGATTTTTTTAATAAACAAAGTTCTTAACTTCCTTTATATCATTTGAGTTCTTAAGATTTTGCAAAGGGAAGTTGGTTAATTTATTTATTAGGACAATTAATATTTGTATTAAGGGATATTGCTTATTTCATTGTAAATTTGTTTTACGCAATAACTTTTTTTTTATGAAGTTGTTCTGGAGAGTAAAATTCTGAGCAGTTTCTAAATTTAACGTTTCGTGTTCCCTTCAGCCATTTTTCCGGTGCATTTAAAAGCCAGACGAAGGCTGGCAGCAGTCGATAACAAAACAAATTCCAAATTCGGGCTGTCAGTTGCCTATATTCGGGTGAAAACGTATGTTATTCAGTATTGGATGACTCTAGGTACCGTTGTTTTATGACAACGCGAGAAACATACCTACATTTATGCAGACTCTTCATTATTTTAATATTATTAAATATAGTACAGGGCGATGATATTTGGTGACAGTAATTTGAAAAAGCAATCTGACATTTATAGTGAACCAACGCAAAATGCCAAAACGAAAATAATAGTCCTTCAGGGCAAGTTTCCCCTTTGGACTAACAAATAATAATAATAAACAAAACAATAAATGAATTATAATTAAAATTGTATTAAATTAAATACAAAAACATACATAATATTAAAGTGCCATAAAAATTAAATAAAATAACAAAACAGGTCAAAAATAAATAAATTAATAATAAACTAAAATGTAATCATCACATCAAATAAAATAACAACACAAATGTCACGTAAGTAAGGAAGACACGTACCAAGGATAAAAGAAAAATTAGGCAATATTGCTCGTGGTCTGGGGGAAAATTGCTTCCTTATTTTGACTTCAGATCCATTTAAATTTTGATTAGATGAGCATAACGCAAACTTTCTTGATCAAGTGGGCATACCCCATGAAAATCGCTCTTCCTGAGGACAAGACTCTGACATATTCGTCACACGCTTTGATATATGAGTTTTCCTGGATGTTTTACTATTTTCAAGGAAAGCAAGAATTGAATAATAAGTACTTGAAAGTGCGTATTATTATTATTATTATCAATTTCATTAACTCTTAAACACTGGGATGATAAGCAGAAGTTTCTGTTAATATTGCGATTCAGCAGCGCAGTAACATACCAGAGCTGGTGTTATTTCAAACTGTGTCTGAACTTGAAATTTCATTCGAAAATTGAGAAATATCAGAACTCGGCTCCAGCTGAATTTAAGCTCAACCCCCGCCCCCTCTTCCACACATACACATCTCAGTCTCAGTATTTTGAGTTTCGTATATTTTTTCTTAACCTTTTTCGAATTAAGTATCCTCCCGGGGGGAGTGAGAAGAGGTTTATTTATTATACTTTATAGTTAGATCAAACGAAATCAAATCAGCGATCCTTCAGTTCACCAAACAAGTGATAATATTTTAGCTACCAATTTAGAATGAAAATAACTTTTAAATTGGAATCCGAATTTAAACTTGCCACCTGATCTCTCAGGTCCTAGCTTAACCAGTTAACTGTGATTGACGAGTATACTCGTCATGAAGAAGCGGCACGATTTTGTGTATTGACGAGTATAGTATACTCGTCAATACACAAAATCGTGCCGCTTCTTATATACTATACTCGTCATGCGTATACTCGTATAGTATACTCGTCATGCGTAAAATGAAATGGAAAGAGAGGTTTATTTAGTAAGTACTGTACATAATGACAACGTAATAGAAACAGAGAAAAAAAATATAAACAAAGAAACCGGAGCTAGTGATTGTTTATAATAAAAAAAATGGGTGAATGGATATGAGTGATGGAATTATCATAGCGTACTCTACAGCAAGAAAACGGCTCAAAAAGTACTACAAGAAGATATTTCTCCATTTCGTAGACATTATGTGTCTGAATGCATTCATATTATATAAAAAAAATAATGGAACCTTATCGCTTATCAACTTTTTGCTCAAATTTATTGAAGACACTTTTGCGACGTATGCAATTGAAAGAAAGAAATCGACACAAACTCGGCCATTTAGACCTAATATAAGCCAATAAAGCAGGAATCATGTTCCGGATTATATACCCGAAACATCGGGGGAAAAAAAAAAAAAAAAACCTACGCGAAGGTGTTCGCATTGCTACAAACGTAAGATCAGGAAGAAATCGCGTTACTGGTGTTCGATTTGCAAAGTCGCATTGTGTATAGTACCCTGTTTCGCTGAATATCACTCCACAGCAGGATTTTAAATTCTTACTTTTATATGTATAATATTTAATTTCAGTTACAGTTATTCAATTACAGATGTTCGTCATGTTTGGTGACTTATGGCAATTTCTTCTCATATGTGGCGACAGAAATTAGTCGCCAAAACCATCGCCAGCTTAGCGATATCTCTCCAATTCAGCGAGTTAGCCGACTTGTCCCTGTAATCTTACTTTTCCGGCAGATTTTCGTCTCTTTCGAGCATTCCATGTTACATTATACGAAAGATACCATAATTTTAAAATGACTTCACTAAAACTATTTACATATATTTAAAATTCGTAGCACTATATATAAATAGGAATATATTTGTTATAGGAAAATAACTGATAATGAAGAATTTTTATGAGGAATATTTATTCTTGAGTACCTAAAAAATTAAACAGGAATTGTTTGATTCCGAATTTTATGGCCAAGCTTTATTGAAGCTTATTTCGCTTATCTTTTAAAACAAAAATATTACCTATTATTTTTTAACGAAAATATTACTGTAATAAAATTCAAACTTTAGCATTAATTCAGTTTCAATTGAAAAAGGCTTACTCATTTTTACCATAAAGTTTTCAACTTACCTTTTCCGAAACAATTCGACCTCTCAGAATATAGTCATGATATATGGACCTTGGCCGTAACTGATAAATTCCGAATCTTGGGCATAAAGTTATAGTTTGAGGATTATTCTTCGTATATGAATTGGGTATATTAGCAGTATTCGGTTTTAATCACGCAGGACAAGCACCTGTTTATAATGTTTAAATAAAATTATTGAATATCCATCTATAAGATATTTTCTAATATTTCAACATTATGATTCTCTTAATTTTGTTCTAAATGTTTTTATTCTATTATCTGGCAAAAATGTAGTTGAGGTCTTTGTTTTAATCGAATGCCTCCTCCATTCCAGATATTCGATTACGCTGAAATAACGCAAGCACAGCCCATACTGCAACCTACAGACGAGGACTCTTCAACGACGACCTCAAGAACTACACCAGTGCCATCTCCAGCAAGAAAAAATTCCTGGAACCACGAGTATGGCAGAAATGCAGAGCTAGACAAAGTCCAGATTCCTAAATTGTAAGAGTAATTCGTAAATTCTTTGCAAACACTGCAACTTGTAGTTTCAAAAGTATAACATATGTTTTGTTTTCTGTACTCGTATTTTATGAAGTGTATCTAGTACTGTGCCCCTTCCCTACGTTTAATGTTTTTTCCAAAAGATAACTATTACGTAAACTGTTGGCTTAGGTTAGGCGTGTGAGTATGGAGTTAGTGTAAGTATATTTATATATACACGATCATGTGCTTGTAAGTACACATAATGTACGTAATTGCTCATGTTTCAATAAATTGATTTTAAAAGCAAGTTAGGAAAGAAATCGAAGATTTTAGAAATAAAAATTTATATTGATATAAGTTACTCTTAAAACCTGGCAGTGCCACCTTTCGTTTTCTGTGGTGAAAGTATGATGTTCCCATAGCAAAGTCACTTGACGTTTAAAAAAAAATCCCATAATCTTCGATTTTTTGTTTTTAATCGAGATGATTCAAGTCCAACAATGGTTCACAGACTCTGGTTTCAATCAATTCGATTTGTCTGTGCCATCAAGTCTCTTTTTGTGAGATTTATTTGGAAATTATGTGATACAATATATATATCTCGCACTTTTTCGCAAGGTTTAAACCCGAAACGGGAGAAAATACGACTACTTTATCGAAATTTTGGAAGAGCTACAACATCAGAAACGTTATAGAAAATATAGGCTAAGCATGACCGAATTAACGACAAGCAGTATGATTGCAATATAGAAGCACATCCATGCCACGATCATTTGTACAACTTTTTTTTTTTTTTTTTTACTTAATTTGTTGAACTCACTAATAAGCATAAGTGGAAACTAGACAACAACTTGGTTTCAGTTAATTAAATTCCGTCAGTGTAACCCGAAACACTTCATTAGATGCAAAACGGCCTTACAGCTTTAATGGCTGGACAACTTACAAAATTCGCAAATTTTCGCAGTGTAAATAAATGTCGGGTATTTATTGGCGTTCATAGGAATTTAGTGACTCGAAGAAATAATTATATTTTAGCCCACGGCAGATGCGTCTCTGACACCATGCGATATTGGGCGAACAGCTTATTTAAATTAATTTTTTTACATCTACTTTTCGACCTTCTTTCGACAGACCACCTTTAATTCGGTAATGCTTAATGGCCTCCGTATTGTTAAATATTAGTTATTTTATACCGAATGTACTAAGAAGTTTAATTCGTTTTAGATTATACTATACGTCGATCATTAACAATATTTCTTAATATTTGTTTCTTTTCAACAGATTTTCCGATGTTGGTTTTCATTACTACTTAGAATCTCCTATTTCAACCAGTCAAAGAAGAGAAGATGACAGAATGACTTATATTAATAAAGGTAGGCAATTTAAATAAAAGTCTTACAACAAAATGTCTTTACTTATTGAATGTTATCAAACCTTATCTTCTACGATCTACCTTTTCATATCGCCATTAATAATCTAGTTTTTAATATTTTGATCACAGTTTGCTTGTAATTAATAAATTAAATTATCTGTCTTAGGTCAATATTATGGTATCACTCTAGAGTACATTCCTGATCCTGACAGGCCTCTGAGAAGTTGTACTGTAAAGGTAAGAACAAAACTTCATACGTGGTTTATTAAATAATGTTCGTAATTATACTTTTTTGTCATTATTTAGGATATGCGCGGTTAAAATGCTATTGCCCATAATAGGGAAATATGGAATTAAATAAAAGTATTCTTTTCCGTAATGAATATATGTACCTGATTAAAAAAAGATAATTTCTATAGGTATGATTTTTTCACTAAGTTTTTTGAGTAATATAAAATGTTACTCTTATAATCGAAATTCATCAACAAATAATTTCAAAGAAAAGAAGGTTGAGAAGATCTGCACTAATTTATGACGAAATCAAAATTTGTATTTACATGTTTTTAAATGTAATGCAAAAATGAAATTTAGAATAAACATAAAAATGGCAATCAGTTACGTTTCAATACGTCAAAATGTAATTTTTGACTACTTCTTGTAGAAATGGGGGGGGGGAGTGAGAAAACTAATAAAACGCTCAAGAAAAAATAAAAATATTTCAGGGACTTGACAATAAATGTTCATAAGCATGTTTTGAATGAAAAATAGTTCAGAGATTGGATTTGGATTGGACTATTCAATTATGGCAAAACACACGAGGGCTATCAGTCGAAAGGGATGGAGGACTTTCTAAGAGAAACTGTCTTGTATACACGTTACACATGGGGAAAACCACGAAAACGCCCATGCAGCTAGCCCGTTCGCGGGATTCGAACCTCAGACCGAACTACCAGTGTTCAGCATCTTTACCGCTCGGCCGCTGGTGGGCGCTAAATAGATCAGAAAGGGAAATATATTAAAATATAACATTCAACTAAACCTATACCGAGCGTTCCTAATAGGCCTGAATATAGTAAATTATTTACAGTTATTTTGCTTGGACAAAACAAATTATTTGCGTAATGCGCATAAAATAATTTATTCTTTTGATTATTGCCGAGTTTCTACAATGGTCGCCGATTAAAAGCAAACACAAGCCAAAATCAAAACAAAATCTGAAAATATTAATTATTTAAAATTTCAGTAATACCCTTTCCCCTTTAAAGCTTAATTTGTTTCAAATGAAGTGAGCGATTCTGAAGAACAGAATTGTAATAGCAACATGAAGTGGCAAGCAAGTATTTGAAATAAAGAATGCAGCTTTTCGTTAATCTAATTTTACGTTCCGTTGTTCAAAATTAGTACATCAGACGATAATAAGCACATTCAAAAATTCGAATTTCTCATCTTATAACATACTACTTGAAAATCTAGTTCCTATTCCTGCAGAGGCCTAAATATACTTAATTAAGGGGTGGGATATACGGACTGCTGCCCAGGGCGTTAGATTTAATAAGGAGTTAAATTCAATAGCTGTCAAAAATTTAAATTAATGAAACATATAACATTGTATATGATCTTTATATAATCAGAAATTTAAATTAAAGAAATATGTTAAGTGGATTGTTTAATTCGTGAATATCAAAAGGCGTCATTTATATCCTCACCTCCTTATCATTAAATCACCTTAGCACTAAAATGTCTTCATCTACCTTTAAAATAATCATTACAGACTCCGTCTTTCCGTTTCGTTCGCTGTGCCATGCAAGACAGTATTTTACAAGACATATACTTAGTGACTCTTATCACTTGCTTCTGAAATAATACTTCTTACACTAATACTCTGCGCTATATCGAAATCTGTGGATTTAGTTATGGACATAACATTTAAGCAAACGTTATGTCTGAAAAATGTCAGAATGATGAGAAAAATTTTTAGGACATCGTCATGTAAATGAATAAAATATTTCGTAACAAATAAAAATAAGCATTCATATAATTGCATATGAAGTGATAATATTCACTTAGGTTTATTATTTTTTATCTTTCTTCAAGGTAAAAATAAACAGTGAGAGAGTTCAACGTCCCTTCTCACGATTTCATGAAATTCGTGACTTCGAGTATTTAAATTTAAATAAAGCAGCACCGGTTCTCTTTTCTCGTCTTCTGTTCCATAGAGGGTGGAGAATACGTAGCACACAAGCGGGAAGACGACATGAAAAACCTGTTGGAGAATCGTCTATATAAAGAGAATTTTTTTTTTTAAATATTAAATTTGAAATGGATTTTTCTTTCTTATTTTGTCGTTTCGCCGTTGTCGTTTTGGAAACATATTTCACAGAACTCGTTTATTCTTTTCTTTAAAAGTGACATCCATAGCCTTAATGTGAATATAAACAATGGATGTTAATCGCAAAGTTTTCTTCGGCACATATGTTTTTTCCGTGGGAAAAACATGCGTGCTCAAATACGACGGACCGAAAAGATCTTTTGTTACAGGCGGATAATATTAATAATTATAGTTATTTATGAATATTTAGTATTTTCTACTTATTAAAAATATTAATTAATGATGAAATTATATATTTTGCATGTAAAATACATAATATTTTATCTACAAATTAAGACAAAATTTAAAATTCTGAATATAGTGTTACGAATTTTGCATTTAGTTAGATATTTTTACTAGAATTGTAGTTAAAATTGTTTTATTTTCTCGTGCAATGCAGCGCGTAACGAATTTTAAGAGAAAGTTACGCCGGGAAAGTAAAAATGCAAGTTAATAAAAGTTTATATCCGTATTTGATATTTAATTTGAATAAATGTAATTCATTAAAGTGTTAACTCTAACCGTAATTCTACGCTTTTTGCTTTCCGGAAATCTCGAGAAAACGGAAATTACGAGAACTTTTTCGTAATCGATTAAAAGGTTGGAAAGACATCTCAGCTCAGTTGTTGTTTGCGTAGCTGCTGTGGTACTTTCCCGTTTCGCCGGCGCAAATCTCGCCAAGCAGACTTTATTGGCGACAACATACAGTATACACACACACACACACACACACAAAATTTTTTGTTCTAAGAAATTTTTATTTTAGAAGGCATAAGCATTTTAATATCGTTTAAAATTTTGTAAAAAGACAACAAATAAAACGATAAATTTGTAAAAAGACATTATTTTAAGAATTTACTATGCTTTCATGGTACAACATCCTGATTCGCCGTTTCGTAACACGTGACCGCAAGTGATCTCATCTCACGTAAACGACGCTACAAAAATCTAAATCTCTCAGTAATTATCTACATTAATTTCAAGTTAAATCTTAATTTGGAATACAAGTTTAAATGCAAGAATTACTTCAGTTCGTACGAATAGCTTATGTAAAACCGCAGTATTTTATTTCGGGGGGCCATCAGTGGCCGAGCTGTAACGTCGCTGAACACTGGTAGTTCGGTCCGAGGTTCGAATCCCGCGAACGGGCTGGCTGCATGGGTGTTTTCGTGATTTTCCCCATGTGTAACGTGTATACGAGCCAGTTTCCCTTAAAAAGTCCTCCATGAAGGCATCCCTCCCTTAAGGCAGATAGCCATCGAGTGCTTTGCCGTAATCTAATAAACCAATAAACCAAACCAGTGCTTTATTTCGCTAGTGCATTCTCATTAGAATTGATGAATTTAACCCTTGTCTTTGCCTTTTCTATATTTTCGCTTTCGGGTGAGCGGTGTGATAATATCTTAACTTTCTGAAGCCGGCATTGGTACAACTGTCGTACCATCCATGCCTTCCCCATTTTAAAGAATCGCCTATCTGTAGATCTCTGGGTGGTCCATTGTCGCTGCTCAGAGTAGCCTCTGGCTACGCATTATTTCCCTCTTCTTATCAGTTTGGCGACATTTTAGCAAAAACCACAGCTTTCGTCTCGCGCCAATATACTTGAAAATCAAATAGAGGCCATCTCTTTCTCAATCTGTTTCATAATTTTAATGCTAATTTTTTTAGTACTGACCTTTGCTATGATTAAAACGTCAGCGATTTTGCACGCTCTTTAAGCTTACCATATTTAATGTTTTTTAATCATAACAGATAAGAGTAGATTAATATTTTAGATTTAATGCCCTTCTAGAAAATAGGTAAAACTGCTTTTATCGTTTACTTCCTTTTCATACTTATGAATAATAAGATTTTATTTTGACATTTTTTTGTGGAGTGCATAAAACCCTTAAGTTACATGTTAACTCTTTCCAAGTGCTTCTATTATGTCGGCAATTTTGTCTGATTTATCAGGAGATAAATAAGAGACAATTGTATGCATAATAGTTTTTGTGATTTTCATTCATTCAGTGATTGCTTTCAGTGATTTTCATTGATTGTAAATTAAATAAAATCAAATTATCTTTAGACTCTCTTTTAGGATGAGATCTGCCAAAAAGTATTTAAATATCAGTAAAGCTCACGTTACTTCTAAATTGAATCAAAAACATCAGTAAAATTGTATAAAATTTCGGCCAGTTTTATTTGCTGAAATTTCTACTCCTCAAGAGAATAAGGGAATTCAGACAAATAAAAAAATATCTTTAAAAAGGTGTTATTTTGTCTGTAATAAGGTGTATGTCAACTTACTATTAAATGTATGAAAAATTAGGATTGGATTACGGAAAAGAAACGCGAACGCTATCTGCTTAAGGGGATGGATGCTTTGGTGTAAACCTTTTTAAGAGAAAATTGCTCGCATTTACGTTCCTGGTGGAAAACTCCACATGTAATCAATCCGTTCTTCGGGTTTGATTGGATTAATTTTGTTCGCTTACTGAATTACATCAAAGCACACAACAATTACCTGTATAAGGGGAGTTATGCCTTCGCGGAAGACTTTCTAAGAGAAGCTGGCTTGCATTTACACACAAAAACCGTTACACAAAAACCGTGAATCCAAGTATTTAGCCGGGATTCAAACGCGAGCGAGCTACAAGTTTTCAGCCACCTTTACCGCTCTACTGAAGAGCCCGTAAAAATATTGATAAAGGAAAAGTATTGAAATAACCGGTTTAATTTACTAACCTATATTTCTCAATCGACAGTACATAAATTACGCATATTGAGGGGGATTATTTGTGAATAAATAAACTGTATTACACTTTTCTCCACTATTTCCTATTACGATGGAATTATTGCATTTCAAAGTTATTTCTCAAGAATTAATTTTGCTCCGTTCATGATTTTTGATATTTCCAAAGAGAAAATTCCACACTTTAAATAAAAAAATACACGAGAAGATACTTTATGCAAAATTGGCGTAAACGTAAACGGTTTTCTTAATTTGCTTTGGAAAATATTCCAGGGTAATCGTTTTCATTTACTGGAAGAAATATGAAAAAAAGACGTTTTACATTGTGTTAACACCCAGTATGTCCTTATTCTTTGAAAAACGTGAAATATTACTCTTTCTAAAATAAATTAGAAAATATATTATGTGCAAATAGAATATTCGTTGAAAATGAAATAGACTTCAACCTTTGGATATAACGATGGTTTTAGACGAAATTTCTACCCATGAAAGAAAATTGATGTATAATTAATTCTTCGTGAACATTTAAAAGCTGTTCTCAAAATTCTTTTGATGATTGCATGTATAGGTCACGGATTTTTTTCTTCTGCTAACATAAACAAAAGCCATTTTACAAAGAAAAATTCTCGTTAAAGATTATACCTTCTTTGCCTGATAGTCCAATGTAATATTTGTTTAAAGTTTAAATGATTAAACGCAACCAATGTATCTCGAATTTTGATTTTTATATTTAATAACAAAATTATCGAAAAAAAAAGCAGATTTAAATCTCTGTTATTGTTTATGTAAAGCTTTATTATTGCTGTAAGTTCATCTCAAAACCTAATTGTATTGAATCTCATTCTAATCATCTAATGGTAATAAATATTATTATTATTTCATTAAATTAGTCATTACCATTATTTTATTAATGAAAATATGTTATTAAAAAATCGCATTCCAGCCTGCAGACTTACAAATCTAGTCCGTATTTACTATATTTTGTTCTCGGCTTTCTAATTTCTAATACGAAAATACGCGAATATAATGAAGAGTGAAAAACAAAGTTTAAAAAATTCACAATTATTTACGAGATTGATTAGAAATCGTGAGTGAAATATAAACATTGCATACATTTTGTTCTAAATACAGTGGGTAAAAAAAGTATTTGCACACCTACATTTTTGTTTGCAATTCATAAAAAGAAGCATCAAGAAATAAAAAAATTGGTATTGCCAAATTAGAATAAGTTTAATCATCCAAAACAAACAGAAAAATTACAATAATATAAATAACAATGCTTTTTTGTAACAAAATTAAAATATCTCCTATCAAAAAAGTATTTGCATACCTGCATGAATACAAAAGAAATAAAATATATAAGAAAATTTCAAATAACTAATATTTAGTATGCATGCCTTTAGCATCTATTACTGCTTGTAATCTTGCTGGCATTGATTTAATTAAATTTTCTGTAACAGAAGCTCAATATTCGGTCACCCTTCAATAAGGGCTTGTTTAAGGGCAGATTTGCTTGAAATCTTCCTTTTTCTTATTTTTAAATCCAAAGAATTCCACAGATTTTCCAAAGGATTTAAGTCTGGTGATTGTGGTGAAGCGGCAAGTTTTCTGGGTACATTATAAAGCAACCACATACGAGTTATACCGGCAGTGTGCTTGGGATCATTGTCTTGCTGAAAAATAGTACGGAATTACTGATACCCAATTTTATTGCACTTTGTGGCAAGTTATCTCGCAACACATTCAATATAGGTTCGAGCTGTCATATTCCCATCAATGAAACACAAATTACCAATTCCTTTGCTAGCCATGCACCCCCAAATCATAACAGAACCTCCTCCATGTTTAACTGTAGGTAACACATTTTTGGTATGAAAAGCAGCACAAGGTTTTCTTCCAAAACTAATTTTCTGCCATCTGATTTAAAGATTGAACTCACTCTCGTCGGAGAATATGACAATTTTTCCAGAAATCGATTGGCATTTTGATATATTCCTTAGCGAATTCAAGTCTCTTCAGTCTGTTTCGTTCAGTTAGAGAGGTTTTTTTTTCCTTGGTGATCTCCCATAAATGTGTGCATCGTGCAGGACATTTCGAACACTTTGGGCACAGATTTGGAACTCCAGATGTTGAAGCGACATCATTGGCTAAAGTAATTGCACTAACAAATGGATTTTTTGATGCTTCTCTTATGATTTTTCGCTTCATTCGCAGTGAAAGTTTCTTTGGGCGTCCAGAGCGCAAGTTATTTGATGTAGATCCTCTTTCTTTATAACATACCAAATAGTAGAGAAGCAGACATTTACTTTTTTACCTATTTCTTGATAACTTAGGCCATTTTCACGTAAAGAAAAAGAAAAAAAAAAAAAAAAAAAAAAATTCTCGCAATGAAATCGACAATTCAGATTTCTTAGGTGCCATTACAATTTGAATCGGCAATCAACTGATAACGTTTCGACACCTTCTTTTATAGTCGTCTTACATATATTATTTACTGCGGGATGACTGTCAAATATAGCATAAAATGCAAATTTGCTAGAGTTGAGTTGAGTGTGCAAATACTTTTTTTGACATAAGCTATTTTAATATTGTTGCAAAAAATTTTTTTATTAATATTATTGTATTTTTGTAATTAATTTATAAATGAATTGGCATTATTTTTTTAAATGCAAATTTTTGTATTTATTAATGCATTTTCTTATAAATTGTGAACAAAAATGTATGTGTGCAAATACTTTTTGTACCCACTGTAAATTGTGCACTGGATATGCATCCAGTACTGCATATTTATTTATGCACTATTTATTTAGAACTTCATTTAAATGAAAGCAAAATAATCATCGAAAAAATTGCAAATCTAGCAACCCCTCTACTATGGGACGTAAGCGTCCGACAAACATGTCGGAAGGCTTAAGGCATAAAATTAAACTATCTGGTAAAAATTCTGGTATTGAAAGAAAAAATCACTCTGATAAGAAATGGCTGCTTTTGAAAATGAGGTGTAAAAGGTTGCCAGCGAGGATCATGGAGGTAAGAAAGGACTAACTTCCTCTATGGGGAAGATATTCCGTTTGGCATCAGTTGTAGCATTATTGGCGACTTTATCGCCTGCGCCGACAAAATGGAAAAGTACCGCTGCTGTCATTTTGAGATCGGATTAGCTTTCTCTGCGCTTTAAATTATGTTCTATTTAACGTTTTAGTAGTTTAAAATAGAACTACTGTGTGATATTGTGATATCGTACGAATATCTGTGAAGAAAAATTTCAGCATTTTGTTTTATTTCTTGTGATAAGAATACATTTTGTTAACTTTTCATCGCACTTGTGCATTCAATTGTTACGAACCCGTATGCACGCAACAATATGTTAAAGAATTTTATTGTTTTAAGACATTAGGTTTTTAGTACAATATTCGTTACTAAATATTAAAGTACCTCAATTCTGCCATTTTTTCCTATTTTTAATGCATCACTTTGGAAAAAAAAATTTAATTTCGTGTTATTTAAAAAATTTAATTATATTACATGTTTTCATATTGCATAAAACTTAACAAGTGTTGATTCCTTATCGAATAAAAATATGCATGCTTATAAAAGTCTTTGAAACTGTGTCACTCTATCAATAAGATCCAAAGATTCGAAGCTCTCCTGGCAGTAAGGTAAACATTTTAGAGTCCATTTAAAGTCTAACCATATCACAGGAAGAAAGAAGAAGGAAATTTTATGCATTACCTAACACTATCTTTTTACATAATTTGCGCTAAAGAGGTGCTGAATAATTAGGTCATAATAATTATTTGGTGTTATTTTATTAGAAGAGTTTGACGAACTATAAATGATGATATTTTAAAAAGTTTTTAAAAATTTACTATTTAGAAACTATGCCATTTATATAGCATTAATTATTAAATTTAAAGTGTAACAACTATCACACAAGCCTTTTGTAGCTAATTTCTGCACAACTACTTATTTTTGTTAAGTTCAATAAAATAAGTATGCTGCAAAAAGCTGCCTTTTAAATTAATAAGTATATTAAATTTTTTCTTCAAAATTTGAAATTAATTAAAAATGATTTTAATGTATTTCTATCACTTTCATTGCTGAATGGAATTTAGTTCAGAATACAATACTAGTACACATAGATGAAAGAATCTTTAATAAAATTGGACTTTTTTGACAGAGAGAGATGTGATCTTTTGGCTCTACTATTTTTGCAGCCCTAGTTGTTGCTAATTTTTGATGTAAAATTCAACTTCAATGGATGTTTTTTTCTTTTTCTGCAGTCCATTGTGATGCTTGTATTCCGAGAAGAAAAGAGTCCAGAAGATGAGCTTAAAGCATGGAAATTCTGGCACAGTCGGCAACATAGTGTCAAGCAACGAATACTTGATGCGGGTAAGAAGCATAGAAAGGAATTTTCAGCTTCCAATAATAATGGTATAAACTGAGAAGATAATTTCCTATATTTTCAGTATAAAATCTTAATAATAAATTAAAACCCACTCTTACAAGAGAGATGTTCTTCAGATGCATTCATGTTCAGAAATTAAATTTTAATCCTTCGTAAGGATACATCATCTTCATTGAAATTGACTTTAACTTCCGTTTTGACTATTTTTTGTTCGTCTGTGCTGAATATGCCCCTTATTTTTTTATGTCGTTTTAACTGTTAATTATTTTTAATAGCATCATATAGTATGAGGACATATAATTTGTATAAATGTAAATTCATAAATTACATATGGGCTACCAACAGGAAATTCATTTGTATGCATTGTTCAAGTACTTGACCTTACATTCAAATCTCAGTTATTAACTGCTTTATAAATGTAATTTACTTTGCAAATGTTATATGTTTTGAATTTTTATACTTATCTTACATTTTATTTTATTGCCTACACTGATGGATGTACCTGGTATGTGGCATATTTGCTAAATTTGAAATTAATTTCTTAACTCATTTACAAGTATCAGTTTTATTCTACTATAATGTTAATGTGTGATGCGCTTGAAATTTTTCAATAAGTATTTGATCTTTTAAGTAAATATATTATCTCATACAAGGACATTTAAATGGGCTAATGCTGCTAGCAGAATGAGCTGTTGAAACACGAAATAATATCATAGAATGATATCTTATTCATTATTGTTAATTCAATTAATAACATAATATTAAGAATTTTAATTCTGTAACTTAAAAAATATTAGCAGAAATCAATTGTGAAAAATTTTATTGAAATCAAAAGAAAAAATTTTAAATAAACTGAAAAAATTATACTCTACATATAGATGAAGAGTGACTAGAATTACAAAATATTGATATTGGATTTATTAATATGCATGAAATTTCTTGTGCAGTTCTGTCTCCTCAAATACACTTATCCCTTATTTTAACAGCAGTCACTTTATGAAGCTTTGCTTTTATGAAAGACATAATTTATTATCCTTTTCAATTAACAAAACAACTCTAAAGGCAATTTTTACTTTTTGAAGAAAGGTTTCGATAGAAAGTATAGATCAGCATTTAATTTATGCAATCATCACAAAAAATTCTGCCTAATTGTAATATAGCATATGGTTTATGGCAATTTTGCAGTGAGTTTTAATTGCCTGTAAGAAATTTTACAATAGGTGGAAACAATTTTTAGTCTTGGCATCCAAGCATAGCCTTAAATGTAGATGCAGTGATTTGATGGATATAAATGATGATAAATTTATGGAAGATATTCAATTTTTGTCTACAACATAATAAAGGCTATATATCTGCCACTATTAAATGTCTGGCGGCTCATTGCATAATCATAATTGGCCACCACCATTATGATTTTTGCATTCTCAATCTCATTTCATTTTTAGAGTTTAAAATTGCGTTGTACTTATGTTTTTTCTATTTATTTAATCTATGTATTTATCATATCATTAGCTCTGTAACTTTTTAAAAAATTTTTAAGTTTTTAAAAAGTTGTTCCATATATATATATATATATTATATATACGGAACTATATAATATACATATGTGTTAAAATTTAAATTTGTTTAAATATATATATATATATATATATATATATATATATATATATTGGATTAATATGGTAGAATATTTAAAGCTTTTTCCAATGCCAATAAATGGTTATTGCTTCTTTATTTTATGGAATTTTGGCTTATGAAACATTTCATGGGAATGCTTTATTTTTGTAGTGAAGGGGAAAACACTTACCTTGATATGTAGTATGGTTTGTTTAAGTATTCATACTTGTGATTGGGTTGAAATATGTGCAAATTCCATGAACAGAATTTTAATTCATTTTTCTCTTTTACATATTCAGTTTTGTGTTTTATGCTTTGATATTATATACTGGAATTTTTTACTTGTTAGATACCAAAAACAGTTGTGGTATCATAGGTCAAATTGAAGAACTTACCCATAATGCCATAGCTTTCTATTGGAATCCAATGGAAGGTCCTGCAAAGGTAAGAAGAAAACTCTATATGATGCTTCTGTCTAGTCAAAGTATCTTGGTACTCATCTGTTATCAGGACCGGATTTAGAAATGTATGTATACATGTATGTGTTCATACATGCATGCATATTTTGTACATGTATATGTGTATACATACATCTTGGTACTCATCTGTTATCAGGACCGGATTCAGAAATGTATGCATGTATGTATGTGTGTATACATACACATATATGAGCATACATACATGCATCTATACATGCAAAATCCAGTCCTGATAACAAGGTACCAATATCTTTTACAAAAATTTTAATAACCAAGTGCTTTTGCTTTTTGAATAAGTTTATTGTTAAAAACCTAGCTTGAATGAATATTAGGACTAGAATGAATACTAGTTTGAATGGCAATTATGCTTGCTGAAGAACCTAATTTTTCAGAGGTTAAGTGGTTTGAAAAATAAACCCATACATGCATGCACTCCCCAACCGCAAAAGTCAAATTATATGTGATTTTGTAGTTAAGTATTAATATATGATGCTTAAATGTATTTGATATTAAATTTTATTTAGAATAATTGTTGCATATCCCATTATAAAGGTAGTGCAAAACCGCAATATATTTATTGGACATAAATCATGTCAATAGTTACTGAAAATGATTGACCAAATATCTCTGTAACCTCATAGTTTGAAAATAGTTTCCTTTGCATTTTTCATTTTCATTACTTGTAGATGGCTTCTTGTCAGTCTATTACATTCTGATAAAAATGAAATGTCAGTTTATGAAATTTTTCATTAAACATCTGAATTTTTCTCCTTTCTTTTCAGATTAGTGTATCAGTTCACTGTCTCAGCACGGATTTCAGTAATCAAAAAGGTGTAAAGGTTAGTAAATTTCTTTAATTTTATTCCTGAATTACGAGAATAATTAGCCATTCTGAAAAGCTTGAATTGAGATAAGCACTCATTTATGACATGGCATTGTTATGCAATATATAGGTCCATTTATTATGGATTTAGAAAAAACTAATGCCATTGGTTATCACTTTATTCAGTATTAGTGGTAAAACAAAATGAATATGTGAAGATTTTCATATGAAGAAAAGAAGAAGGTTTTCTATAGTATTGTTATCCATATGCAGTATTTCAAGAGCATAAAATATATCTAGTATGCCTAGGGATGATCAACTTGCTAAAATTATTTGTTTTTTTTTTTTTTATATCTTGAATGCTTATCAGTAATTTAACATCATAAAGTATTTTGCCCAGTTTTAAATGTTAAGAAAAAATTAATAAAATGTTAAGATAAAGTTAATAAAATACTAATTATGATTTGGATTTTTGAAATCATTTATGGAGTTTTTTGGTCAGATTTGTATATCAACTATGCTTTTATAATATACATCTTTACTTATTTTAGTATAATTTCTAATTTCAGTATGCTTTTATATTTCAGGGTTTCCCTCTTCACATACAGATAGATACAACAGATGATTTAAGGGAAGGAGCTCTACCTATACATAGAGGCTATTGTCAAATCAAAGTATTCTGCGATAAAGTAAGTATAATAATTTATGTAGTTAAGGAAAATAAAAATTTGTGATCCATTATGTAGGGTATCGGCAAAAACCACACAGCTGTAACTTCAATAAATTATGCATATGACATATAGAAATCAAATGAAGTTCCATGCTCAGTAAATACCCTAGGACTCTATTTGACAGTGAAAACTATGAACAGTCATGATGACTCAGACTTTCTAGTTTAACACTTAGGTTTTCTTCTGTGAGTCTATCTGAAAAAGTATAAACTGGATATAATCCAAAAACTGCAGCAGCCCTAGTTATTGCTTTGGTATAGAAAGTTATTGTAATTTAAGTCTATAAGACAATAAAGTCCTTTACAAAACTGTTTTAATACATGGTAAGAATAATGGCTATGAGATGACAAAAACAGAACCTTTTTAAATTCTTTAAAGCTAAGGTAACAACACTATACAAATAATTTACCTGATTCCCTCCCATCAAAAAGATAACTAAGTTTCATATCACACTTTTTTTAATTTAATTTCTTTTTTTCTATTGATTGATAATATAAATCTTAAATTCAAGTGTAAAATATTTTACTTATATATGTATATTTTGTTACCCAACAGGGTGCTGAGAGGAAAACGCGAGACGAAGAAAGGAGAGCGGCCAAAAGAAAATTAACAGCAACAGGAAGTATGTGCATATTTTTAAATACTAACAACTGTTACAGCCATTATCAATTTAATTTCGCTTACATTAGCAAATAAATAAATACTGTTAGAAAATAAAATAAAACATATGATGCATCTTTTAATCTCGCCTTCAAAACTGATACTGGGATCTATGTGAATAACCATAAATTTGCAAACCATCATACATATGATGTGACAATTTTTTTTTTATATGTACCATATTAACCTGAAAGCAGTGCTTTCATTGGTAAGTTTTTTGACTTGAGATGTTTTGTCACAGCTGGAGCAAACTCAGAATGAAACCATTCTTTGAATAGCTGTTGAGTCATCCAGGCAGTCCTAACAGCTCAATAGTGCACTGGCAGAGACTTTAATAATTTCAGTCAATACCTTCCCTACACATATTCCGGAACTCTTTTATTTTGGGATTAAGAGGAATGAGCGTTAATACATTAATGCACTATTTATTTTTTATTTAGTATTTAAAATACACAATTACAGAATTTTAATTTTGTTTGTTTATTTTTTATTTTCATATTTAAATTAATTACAGCTGGTTAAAGCAGAGATCCAGCTAAATGGAAGTTGGTTAAGAGAGTATACTGTAATACTAGTTATTGATCTTTTCCTATACTTGAAATATATCTGTCATTTTAATACAGAAAATTACTTAGAGTGTGAATTTAAGTACAGCTTAGTATTAATTAAATAATTATATTAAATTAAAAAAATTTCTATTGATTATTTAATTTGTTGTAAAAATTTAATCTAATACTACATTTACGATGTAGTTGAAATTCTAATAATTGCATAAATTATTAGAATAAATTATACAAATAATAATAATTGGATAACTTTTTTTAAATATGGATTGCATTTAATTTATTTTTCAGTAATATTTATGTATGAAGTTTTGAAGAACTTTAAAAATATATTTATTTCACTAAGAAGCAGATTGTTTGTTATATCTGATATGTGATGTTAGTTCCAATTATATCAAATAATTTATTTACAAAACTTCTTTATACTGTAATTTCCTCATATTTGTAGTTAAGTATATCAAAAAGAAGGGAAAAAAAATGCTTTATGTATCTAAAATACTGGCATGTGTTTAATTGTAATTATTTTTTTTAAAGGCAGTAGAAAGAAAATTGAAGAAATGTACCACCCACCATGTGAAAGGTCTGAATTCTATTCCATGAGTGATCTCTCCAAACCACCAATACTTTTCACACCTGACGAAGACACAGAAAAAGTATGCATTCTTATTTTTCTCAAGAAAACTACATATGAGATCTTATAACATGATCACAATTTGAATAAAATTTCAACTTTTCACTTGCAACCACTGTAAGTAGATTTGCGAAATATTCAGGCAGCTTAGAAACTGAATATTAATGTTACGTAATGTCTTAAGATGTTTTTCATTCAGATGGAATATTTTTTTATTTAAATCTGTTGAAATGAAATTATGTTTATTAGCTATAATTTGATTCATGTCATTAAATTAATAGCATCTTATGAAATAAGATTAGATAGGGAGGAAAATAAATGATCTTATGAAATAAGATCAGATATCATGTCATTAAATTCATAGCATCTTATGAAATAAGATCATATAAAACCACATGTAGAAGAATAAGAATTGCTTTTATTTTTGAATACTTACAACTGCTGGAATATCTAGTACTTTTGAGTCTTAGAAGAATATATTTGAGTAATTCCATCTTTCATATACCCAACTGCTCATTAAAAAAATTTTTTTTCAGTCAAATGGACATGAATTAACATTTTATACAATTGCTACAACACCAGATGAAGCTGCAGGGACTGTATCGTAAGCTTACGTTTTATTTTTATTTATCGTATGCATTAACTATATTTTTCAAATATCTGTAACCATACAAAAGACAGCTTTCAAACAAGTATTAAAAAAGGTCAAAAGCACATAGTAATTAAAGTTATTACATGACATGTATTAAATAACAATTCAAGTTTGCTAATAATCTCAAAACTGAATAGAGATCCTCAAGAAAAAAAGCAGAAATATTAAACAATTAATTTCAGAATTTTTTATTGAAATTTATGAAGGAAAATGATTTATGAAGTTGGAAAAATTAATAACAGTTTTTCTTCAGGTAAATAAAATTTGTATTCTCTACCATCAGGCAAATGTCATGATTCAAGTTAAGATTCATAAGCATTCAAAAGCAACTGAACAAATGAAATAAATAATCTGTGTATCTTTAGCAAAATTTAACTAATCTTCATTCTCTTCCCCTTCCTGTTAAAAAAATTTCCTTAATATTTATTATTCACAGGAATGCTGAGATTGTTAAATAAGCAAAATTATTTTTGCTACATAAAACTATTTTTATTTTCACAGGAACATTTTTGTGTTAGATTTATGAAAAAATTTTTAATAAAATTATGAAATATTTTTACCTTGGAAAAAAACCCGTATAAACGTCTCTATAATTTTGTTTTAAATAATATAACCACTGGATTTACACCATTAAGAATAAATTATAGGTTCAAGAAGAGTTCTGTTAAATATTGAAAATTTCTAATAAAGGAAATTTTGTGTATTTCTACATTGATTGTGGTATTAGAAAACTAAAAAAAAATACTAGGTAATAAATTCAGTTACATTCAAGTGTCTGCTACTTATAAACAGCATTTTAAAATAGATACAATCTGCTTACAATATCGAATTTTAAAATCACTATGTAATTATTTTTGAATCGGCTGAATTTGTTTGTATTCCACACAAATGATGAAATATATGCGTAAATTCATTTATTCTGCAGCTTATGTTTTTTATTCTATGTCTAATTGCAGTTAATATTCACATAAATTAAACAGATACTTTATTGTATTAAAAATGTATTTCTTTGCAGAGAGGTAAAGGCTCCCCTTGAAATTCCTATTACACCTCCAATAAAGAAATTCAAACTTGCACCTGTAGATCGAGGTATGTTTCAAATTAAATTTTTACTTTGCCTTTTTATTTTTGGTTTCTAAGCTCTATCAGATATTGATCTGCATAGTTTTAAAGTTTTAACTGAACAACATGAATCTTTGTCCTTCACAGGACATATATCGATTGAGTACAACTAAATATTCAGACTTTTAGATTTTTGACGTTTAAGAATTTTTAAATTTACTGTAGTATTATTTTATTTCTGAATATAAACTTTAAGTCAAGTGATTTAACCCGGGAGAGATCGCGCGGGGCACTGAGTCACCCCATACGTCGAAAATCAACAATCCAGACCGGAAATATTTCATGTTAATGAATCATCCTTCTAGTATCCTCCTGTTTGACACTCCCCTTGGAATGTGTATTGTTATTTTTACTTGTTTTTCCTTTCTCCCAGAGAAGCAATCGTTTCTTGGAATGCATGAGAGAACAGGGTGATTCAGTCACCCTGTGCGACTGAATTTTTCATTAGGAGCAGTTTAGCTTGTTCTAGCTTCGTGCTTTGGAGTGTTTTCGTTACTTGTCTGTTGGATTAATTTGATAGATAATGGCTTACAAACATAAATTTACAGAATATGAAAAAGAGATGGAACGTTTGAGAACTCTATTAGATGAAGTAGAGTCTTCTGACGAAGAAATTGATCAAGAGAGTGAAAATGAATCTGATGAAGAAACATACAGTTCTCACGACAGCGAAAGTGAATTTGAGCAGAAAGATGAAAACGACAAAAATCCTGACTTAGAAAAAGTACTTTTTTTTAGCAAAAACAAGACAGTTTGGCAAAAAGAAAAACCAAATCAAAAAGTGAAAACATCTTCTCAAAATATAATAACTCATTTTCCAGGATTTAAAGGTACTGCACGCAGTATAACGGAGCCTCTAGAAAGTCGGGAATTGTTTTTCAATGCTAAAATAATACGATCCATTGTAGAGTGCACAAATATTTATATTGAAAAATATCCGTAAATTACACCAGAGAGCGAGATGTCAAAACGACAAATGACGTGGAAGTTAGAGCACTTTTTGGGCTTTTATATCTGTGCGGATTGCATAAATCGTCAAATATGAATGCGCAAGATTTGTGGGCTACTGATGGATCAGGCATTGAAATTTTATGGAAGACAATGTCGTATAAAAGATTTATATTTCTTCTCAGGTGTCTACGGTTAGACAATGTGACCGATCGTGAATCTCGGGGGGGGGGGGAAAAGTGGACAAACTGGCGGCTGTAAGAGAATTTTTTGCCGATTTCAATGAAAATTGCCAAAAGGCTTACATTATTGGTGAATACGTCACAATCGACGAAAAATTAGAGAAATTTCGCGGGCGGTGTTCCTTTCAATCAATAGAATCTGGTCTGATTACTAATTTTAAATGATCATAACTTCTGCTAACATCCTTCTATTTTTGTCACTTCTAAGGTTTATGTAGAAAGTTCAAGTTACGGAAGGTGAATAAAAGTGATCCAAAATTCAAGCTTACTCACATTCATTTGATTTAATTGCATGTGATTTTTTATGGGAATTAAAAGGCTAAGGTTTTTACCACCCTTGCTGCAGATATTAGAAAATAGTCTATATTTAACTCATTATTTTTTCTTGAGCATGTGCAAATAAAATTATGCTATATATCACTTATTTTTTAATTATTTTCTTTTAGTATTAATTATTCAGGATGCCTCAAAAAGATGTTACTAATTTTAAATGATCATAACTTCTGCTAACATCCTTCTATTTTTGTCACTTCTAAGGTTTATGTAGAAAATTCAAGTTATGAAAGGTGAATAAAAGAGATCCAAAATTCAAGCTTACTCATATTCATTTGATTTAATTGCATGTGATTTTTTATGGGAATTAAAAGGCTAAGGTTTTTACCACCCTTGCTGCAGATATTACAAATATCAAGCGGGAAAATACAGAAGTAATTCTTTAGATTACCACTGACATTTTAGAATAAACATGATTACCATTTTGACATTCTTGAAGTGACAAACTGTGTCTATATTAAATGTTTGTAACATTTAATGAGTATGCCTTTGAACTAAAATAGTTTGTTTATCCATATTGTATGTATTAAAGACTCATTTAAAACTTCATACATCTTTTCTTTTTGAGACATCCTGTACACTACTTTCCCAGCATTCATTTATAATATAAATGTCTGGACCAGTGTCTTTTGACTACTCAGCAAGTAAACACAATATACTGAAAAGCTTTTTAATATTTGATGTACATAAAAACTGGGTTATTATGCAAAAATTTTAAGTAATTTTAAGAAGAAATACACTGTGTTACCAAAAAATATATGCACTAAGCAAAATAATAATAATAAAGCAACATTAGTGAAACTTAGCATGCGTATATTATCAGAGGTGATACCCAAATGATTAGACTTTTCTGTCAGAAAGGCATTTTATTAAGAAGTGGTAGTAACATGAAGATTACATTTTAGTAGAAATTAAATCACCCTCTTAGCATGTATACATGTCAATATTTGATGCAGCATAAAATTGCTAAGTTATATATGTCTCTCTGTAGAAGATTTTGCCACAAATTTTGCAACGGGTCATGCAATATTTTAATGGTACTCTGAAAGGGCTCTAATTGCCATCTCAACATCTCCTAGACATGCTGTTTTGGTAGTAGTTATGGGAACTTGCAATGGTATAATATCCTCAGAGATACTATTGAGAAAGTTCTTTAACATGGGATTAAACATTGTCTTGTTGGTAATAAGGTCCAAAGTTGGTAACACAGACAATAGAGCTATCAACTGCAGAATGTCTTCAGTATACAGATTCCAGTTTGTGTCAGTTATCTTTGAAACCAACAGACTACCTCATAGCATATCTAGAAGAGATTAGCTGTCAGGTGATAGCTCCCAAGACTGTTCCTAACCAGATATGATGGCTGTGCATAATTTGATAACGTATGCATTATCAGAATATGTATCATTGCTCTTGTACACAATATACGATGGTTGACACTGACACAGAAGTAGGATTCACTGCTAAAGATAACGTAACATTAAACATATATTGTCAAAGATAGCAAGATCCAACACTAATTCAGAGAGTTCTGCTTATATTGAAGGTAGTTTCTTTAATAGGTATTTAGGTCTAAAGAACACAGGAAATGAAATATAAAATGGTGAAGAGAAATGGTTGTGTTGCAACTTTTTAGAGATACATAGAAAAATTAATAAGGTGTGGTTATCCCTAGCTGAAATGCAAGCTTTACAGTAATTTTCCATGCAGCATACTAGATTGCTCCTGCATCAATAAAGTATATTCAGGATTAATAGCACCTTGAAGTTCCTAGACAGTACTGGTGATGGATGCAAGCTGTGGATATGGTGCATATACATATGTTCCCATATATGAATGTATATGGGGGACATCCCATAATATGTTCTGTAGGATTTCAATACAGAAAATATGTAGGCCAAATGCATGTAAAAATATGTAGATCAGTTCAGCCATTCAAAAAGATATCTGTTCATATCATGTTTTCATCATATTTGTGCGTATGCCTTTCACATATAGTTCCAGGCGTATTGCATGTGTTTTGCTCTCGCCAGATTGTAAAACGTCTGAAATTGTTCCCCAAACATAAATGAGACTCATCTGTAAAGAGAATTCAGTTTCAGTCCATGGTGCTCTTATCATGATGATCTCTGCACCACTGCAAATGGGTGCTTTGGCAGACCAAATGAATGAGATATAAATGTGTACAGCCTTCTTTTATGCAACTTAGCACTCATAGTATATCTGGATAATTGGAGTTCCTGTAGCTGGAGTAAAACCCCTTGCAATATGGGCTGAGATCAGTTATCCGTCTCTTTTAACAATCATTACCTGAGAGTCTATTCTGGCAATTTAATCTCTGATACCTGGTTGTTTGGATACATGACCTAGATGTCTGGATACATGAACAATGCCACTTAACCATTCCCAGATTCTTTACATAACACTTTTGGGTACTTTTAGGTTTTTACAGCCTTGAGTCTCTGTCCTTGAAATTAGAATCTAAAGTAACCCCTTGCACTCATTCAACATGTCATGAAAAAAGAGGCAAAAAATTTGCATATTTTTATGCAACAAAGGTGAAACCCATTGGATTATCTCATAATCTTCACTATGAGCTACCAAAACAGTTATGTTTCATTAGATTTCACTTATTCACTATAGGAGGTATGGCTAATATTAAATGCTATCAGATGGAAGATAATGACACCATTAAGTGTGGCTGTAAACTATATTCCAGCTTGTAAGATCCTTTATGGGGCTATCATATCTAGAGATGCATGAGGCTAGAAGGAACTTCCCTGAGAAATGAGCTTGTCCATTGCCTACCACTTGAGGTTTCCTAGCTGACTAGCTCTTTCATTGAGAGCCCACGTCTATGTGGGACTTTTTGAAACTGAACTGAAAATGTTTCATTTGTCCCTCATACAGTTTCTCCAAACAACTGCTTTTCACATAATTCAACCAATTAAATATCTCAAAAATAAAAATTCTAGCAAATGTCTTTCTTGATGCATTACTGATTGCACCATTTTTCAATGCACTATTAAGGGTAGCATGTAGATGTGATACTGGTTTTAGGTTTCAATATTAGCCACGTATGTCTTTTTTGATCTGCTCTTGTCAATAATGAGCTTTTACCACATCACTTTAACCATAATGGTGGCTGATATATCTATTAAACCAACTCAGTTTTCTTAAGCATATGAAGTATTCACTATCTAAAGCAAAAAATTTTCATTGTGCCATCAAATATGTCTAAAAGACATCTTTATATATCGGGTGCGCCCCCAAAATTGAAAAATCTGATTAAAATTGCATGAGTGAGAACACTAATCCTTTTAAATACTGTATAAAAAACACTGGTCTAGACAAATATGCTGGCTATTTGAATGTGTAGTATTTTGCATGTTGAATGGTAACTTCTGACACTTAGAACTAACAGTGTCCTATTGGGACTCAGTGCTACTTTATGTGAAGCGGGCTGATGAAGGTGTCTTCCATCCTCTCCATCTTGTTCCACCATCATTAGCTGGACTTGCTAAAGCAGTGAGTACATTAACTTTTTTTTTAAACTTTTATCATAATATGTGAATTCAAACTATGCATTTCATTTTATTTTTGGTGTAATATCCATAAATAAACTCACTATGTAATTTAATTCTTAAAATACCCCTAACCCTTTCAATATAGATTCTCCACTTTTTTAAAAATTACTTCATTATTACCTCTATTATTTAAATATAAAGAAAAAACAATAAAAAGAAAAAACTCTTTTGCAAAAAAATCGAAGCACCATTAAGAAAGTGGTTGTTTTTGATGGTATAGCTCATACACAGATAATAAAATGATTAAAAAATCAAGGTCATAGTACCTGTTCACGGCTCACAGTCACCCACTGTGTGTTCAAATTAGTAGTTGGTCGAACTGGCCCTGGCGGCAAAGCATGCTTGAATTCATCGAGGCAAGGAGTGGTAGAGGTTCCTAATGTCATCCTGTGGCACATTCTGCCAGGCATTCATCAGTTGTTGCTCCAGATCTGTGATATTTTGTGGTGCTTGAATCTGGTGGCCCAGACGTGCTCGATTGGTGAAAGGTCTGGTGAACTTGCTGGCCAAGGAAGAGTATCAACCACACGGAGAAGGCACAGAGATATGCGAGTGGTATGTGACCTGGCATTATCTTGTTGGAAAATGGCCCCAGGATGACATGCCATGAAGGGTAACGCAACCAGCCACAGGATGGTATCAACATATCGTTGAGCTGTTAAAGATGTACGAAGGATGACTAAAGATGACCTGCTGTCATAAAAAATAGCACCCCACACCATCACACTAGGGGTTATTTGGCTGTATGCGTCTGTAAAACAAAGGCTGATTGGGACCGCTGGCCCTGTCCTCTCCAGACATGAACACGGTGGTCATCTGCTTCAAGAATGAAGTGGGATTCATCGCTGAACACTATACGATGCCAGTCAGATGGCAGCCATGATGATCGGCTGCGAAACCACTCCAGACAACTCTGCAGATGTTGTGGGGTCAAAGGCAAACATCTTAAAGGCCTCTGTGAGCATAACCCCACCTCAGACAAGCACCGTGAGATGGTGGACGGTACCAAGGGAAGTATAGATGTGGCTGTAGTGCATTGAATAATCGACAATGATACCATTGGGACGATTTGGGCCTGACGAACAATCATCCTATCTTGCCTCACATTTGCAATCCTTGGCCTTCCAGAGCCAGCAGTGTCCGTATGCTGTAGGTGGCAGCCTATTGCTCGGTATGACCACCCAGCTTCACACAACCCTACAATGCGACTACATTCGAAGTTGTTTAGTTGTCCGTAAGGTTTTCGATATCGTCGTAATGGCTTCTTTAGGGAATTACAATGGCAGCAACAACAACAACAACAACAACAACAAAAAAAAAAAAAAAAAGAAGAAGAAGATCAATTTTCCACCTCTGTTACTGGTTTTATACTTTGCGAATTGCTGCACGCTATGATAGCAATTCCTGTTCATTTGCCTTGAAACTGTGATCATTTGCATGTTTGAGCAAGATGTTTTTGCATACCAAATTTCGCCGCGATCGCAAAAGTCCTTCTTGTTGCTTCGATTTTTTTTGCAAAAGAGTGTATGTATATTCCTTCCTCATTTTATGGAAAAACAACAGTACCTAGAATCGCCAGATTTTGGACACGCTTAGTCCGCCATTAGAATATGTGTACCTTGAAGACAAATTTTAAATTTACAAAAAAAAAAAAAAAAAAAAAAAAAAAAAAAAAAAATTTTATGTAAACTTAATTTTGATTAGCAAACTAAGCTATTTAAAAGACCTCTGCTGCCACTCTGTAAAGCATATGGTATTTGTCTTTCAAATTTAATCAACAAACGTAGTGATTTAAAAGAAATGTGCTACCACTATTCAAAATAAAATATTTTTATCTTCCAAAGTGCTGGTGTGCTGAAATCTAGGAAAGTGTAAGATATTTGATTTTTCTTTCAAATAACAAATTAGCAATTTAAAAGTAATAAACACAATTCTTCATCTCTATTATTATTAACCACTAGCTGGGATCATTAAAATAATTATATATTTTTCCTTCTTTGTAATAACTATTTTAGACAGATAGCTGTGCAAGCAGGTAGTCATTTAAATTAGCTTTGCTGATCTATACTTTCATACTGCAATTTATGTCAAATAGCTAACTTTCTGCAGACGTACCTTAATTTCTTCTAAATGATGTCATTAAATAAATGTAAGTGCAATATAAAATTAATATGATTTCAAGTTTACATGTAGGTGCAAAATGAACCTATCTAATAAACAATAACAATCCTATGGTAATAAGCACTAGTTTGTTAAAAATCTAATATCATTTAATGAATCTAATCTGTTACAGAAAGAAAATGAAAAGAATTTCATTTATTACACACATGTGCACACAAATAATAATAATAAAAAAAGTAGTTGCCATTAAGTACGAGACATCTTGCAGTTTTATATAACCATCATTCACTTTTAGCTGCAATTAAACTATACCAACTAAAATATTTTGTATTCAAGAATACGAATAAAATATAATTATTCTTTATAAGAACAATTAAGATTTTTCTTATTAATTATAATTGTTGACTTATAGCACAACTGCAACTTCTCATTTTTAATGTTCAGTAATCAGTTGTATAGCATGTTTAATTTATGTCAGTTTTAATATGCAAGATGTCTCAAAACTGCATATACGAGCTCTGACATGGGAAGTAAAGAATATCAATATGAGCCTTAATCACATAAGAAAGCAGATTCAGAAACTGATAGCCAGGGAGCACTCCACGTTGGCACCTTGGATTTTTTCATTAAAACTTGCAGTGCTGCAATAGAAGCATGCATCATTTTACAAATGCTAGTTTAGTGGCAGGTGTTCAAATTGACACTCTCTCCAATAGCTAGGGTTTTCAGCACCCATGTACAACTGAAGATTTTGCACCCCTTTCTGTGTGCGCCAAGAATGGAAAATATTTCATTTTAAAATTTCTTAATATCAATTTGGTGCCCTTGAATGCTGTACCCATGCACAAATATCACCTCTTGCCCCACCCTAACCGCTGTTTAGCGGGCATGCACTTTGGTTTGGCTGATGGTAACGAACAAACCACTGTAAGAATGCATGGGGTACCCAACCAGATTATGTACCACAGCATTAAGTATTTACACCGGAACCTGAGTAAACACAAATCATCCTGGAACAGAATTCAGGAAAAAGTTAGCCATTTGATCCAAAACCTTATAAAATCAGATATATTGCATTACTGGACAGTAATCCAGGCAGAAGCATATGTGTTATTGCTTCTGCAATAGAAGTATCTTGACCCAGTGTATGGAGCATTATGCATGCTGTGGTTTCATATCCATCAATATGCAATACATCCAATTCCAGATAATCTGAAGGAAACATATTATTTATGATGTGTGGCATTTTCACTGTGATTTCTGCAGAAAATGTGGGTGACCTCTAATTTACAAGCTGTGTCCTGTTCATAGATGAAGCATCCTTTTCCTGTATATAGCCCTCAATTACTATAATACATGATGTTCCACAAAAACCCATACTTTACATTATTTCATGTTGAATGACACCATTTTGCTGCATAGGTGGGTGTTGTGAATAGCTGGCTCATACTTGTAACTATCCCAACTAGATACTTGGAAGTATCAGATCTCCCTGGAGGAGATTCTGTGTCATTTATTGAGCGAATGTACATCACTGGTTGTGGTTTTAATACAAGAGGACTGCAGCCCATTATGCTAAATGTGTACAATTATATTGGATCCGATCTTTAGAAATAAAAAGACTGGACATAGTGGATTTACTGCACAGTCCCTGTGTTCACTTGATTTATCTAGCATAATTTTTTTTTTTTTTTTTCTGTAGAAAACCTTCAATGCCATTCAGTATGCAGCTTCAGTGTTAAGCTTGCATCATTATGAATATTCGAAACTTTGATCATAATTTGTGAAAATATATTTTGCATTTACTAGTTCTGTAGTGGAAAATTTTGCTTAACAAAGAAAGTACTTTATATACACTATAGAAATATAGTGCATTTTGATGTGTTTTTATATCGATTGTCATCCTGCGAGTGGTGTATCTGGTAATGCTGTCGTATGCCAGTATGATTCATATCGGTGTTCTCTACTGCCTTTTTAAGTTTGCACACAGTTCTGAGACATCCTGCACATCACTTACAACATCCTATACTTGAACGGATGAGCTTATGCAAAATTTGCATAGAAAGAACAGGCATGTTAGTCTGCTAAATTTTCTTCAATACAATACTAATTTATAACTTGATTGAATTCATTATTTATTTCATCTAACATATATATGTTCTGCATGCAGGAAATCCAAGATTTACAAAATGAGAAACTAAGAGGGGGAAAAAATTTAAGTGAATTTGTTAAAATTCCTTTTTTAGAATTATTTCATTGTTTCACGTCATTAATTCATTTTCCTTCCTCTCCCCAAAAAGAAGGAATAAAATGAAATAATGAGACAGTTTAAAAAGAAATAAGCACAATTCAATCTCATGCTTATTAGTCAAGTTGGAATTCATATTTAAGATTTTTATAGACATCCCTCAGAAATTAATATGTAAGTATAGTTGTTTACAAAGGTACATGAATATAGATAAAGATTGGTCAATTTTTTCATATGTTTTACTTAAAACTGATGCATATTTTTTTGATAATTTAGTTTCACAATATATATAAAATAATATTTTTCCCCCTTCACCCTCTTTACAGTTGGAAAGTAAATACAATATTACAGCTGACTTAATAAGAAATTTTTACAAACGATGCAAGAAAGGGTATGTATTTTTCTATTTTCAATATTCTTAAAACATTCATATTACAGCAACCTTTAATGATTAGAATTTTCCCAGCAATGTTAAAAAAATGGGACTATGAAAATATTCATATATGGTATATAGTCGTTTGCCCATCTATGAAAAATGTTTTCTCCATTCATATTAACTGCTTTATATTTTAGTCCCCATCAATAGCTGAGTGGTTAAAACCACTGAATATCAGTAATTCAACCCAGGTGAATGGGTGTTTTTGTGGCTTTTCTCATGTGTAATGTGAATACACATGAGAAAGTGTATTCACATTACACATGAGAAAATTTTCCTTTACAGATACCCTTCCCCTGAGGCAGATAGTCCTCGTGTGCTTTGCCATATATACAAACAACTAGCCTAGCCTCATATATTAAAATTGTATAATTTTTAAGTAATTTGAAAACAAGAATAATTGCATTAAATACAAAAAAATTTAAATAAAAAAAAGTAATAAAAAAATCCAGAAAAATAAAATTTCATTACCCTACTATTTTGCTTCATTAATATGACTCATTTGTGGATAAAATAAAAGTATTCTTCTTAGCTGATAGAGTTTATTATTACACCCATACAGGCACACATAATTCTATATTAACAAGTATGTATATCACTTAATTTATACATTTTTCTAAATTTGAAATCCAAATGGGATTTACTAATTCCAACAAACCAATCATTTTAAGGATATTTAAAACTCTTGTTTTTGACGATTTATGAGCAAGAATAAATTTAAAATTTTGACATTCATTCATGGTATCAGAATGATCATAAAAATAGATTACTTCAGTAAAGATAATAATCCCCTCCTCAGAGAACATTATTTTTTTTTTTTTAATAATCTAAACTGTAATTATTACTGCATACAGTTGCATAGTATAACATACATAGTTTGTTAGTGAAAAACATCCCAATTTATTAGCATTTTGTGAATTTAATCAGCTGCAGAATTTTCTCTCTTCTGCCCCATCATTTGCTCTCGAAAATATGCCATAGGAAGATCTTAACATAAACAGCCTGATATAATAAAAATTGGACAGCTTTGCCTGTTTTCACAATTAACAATGTTGGATGAAAAACATATTGCTTTCAATTAAATTTAATTCATATCAAATTCTTTCATTCTAAATGCTTCTTTAACCATGTATATATACAGGTTTAAAAGCAAGGAAACAGTTTTTCTCTTGGGAAAATCCCTCCATATACAAGCACTGATGAACTTTCAACCATCTAATAAGATGCTGTCTAATAATAATGTGACCACTTTGAATGTGCGAAGTGGCTTTATACTTCTTAGGCATTGAATGAATGAGATGTTTGTTAAGGTATTGAGGGATTCTTCCTCAGTCTTTGAGAATGATATTGCAGATGTATCTGTGGAGGGTCTAATAGCAAAATATCTGCTTGATGTACCCCAAGCATGTTCTGTTGGTTTCAGATTCCAAGAGGCATGCCATACAATCCATAAGCTCCATTGTTTCTCTTTCAAGTATCAGGTTCATAAAGCAGACTGGATGAGGTCAGACATTGTAATGTATAAAAGAACAGAATCGCCAATGGCAGCAGCATAAAGCATGATCAAGAGTCTTCAGAATTTTATCCCTGTAATTTTAACCTGCCACAGACTCATTCCAAAAGTAATTTATATTAGTATGCCCAACTAATCTTTTCCCTCCCAAATATGCACTCTGTCTTCAGCAAAATGCGATCTTTCTTTAATATGCACTGAACTGTATCGTGCGTCACCTTTTCTTCACATAAGAAATCATCAATTATCCAGCTGTAGGTTGAATCTGGGCTAGTGAGAGAAGGGTCTTCATTCAAGCTGTGTCCAATTCTTTCGAGCTTATGATGTTGGGAGGCTTTTAACTCAAACATTTGGCCTATATCCATATTCCCTCATATACAAAGGGATCTGTAAATTGCTTTCATCAGTGTTCATTCAGTTGCTGCTAAAAGTTGTCTTTGCAAGTGGGGGTAGCATTTTGATATCTGCTCCAAAGGGCTCTTACTGATAAAAAAACAATCATCATCCAATATGTTAGCATACAAGTTATCATGGCTAGGACATCTTTGTATACATTCTGTGCCCTGGAACCACATTCCACATACCTACAGTTATACTTCAGCTCATTCCAATGGTAATAAATCCAATAATGATGCATTGATTTTGACCAGCTTCCAACCTTCTTATGTCTCACCTTGATGAGATAGACTTGAGAAACTGCTTATCCCGTGAGAAGTAATAGAACATACAGTTCTAAAAGAACCATCCATTGTATAAAGTTTTCATGCCAATGTCAATTTTTACTTTATTGTTGGTAATTTGCATTTTGAACTACTTTCTAAAGCAGACCCTTTATTTTTCAAAGGAATTTCTTAACAATTCATTAACATTGTACAACTGCTCTGAATAAAATGATTTAACAAGGGTGATTCTCTAATTTTATAGACTAATGTAATTCCTGAAAGTCCCTAAAATCAAGACTTTTTCCAATTTCAACAAAATAAACTAACTTCATGATATTTTTGTACTTTTCTTCATGCTTAATTCCAAATAGAAATCAATAAACTAACTTCATGATATTTTTGTACTTTTCTTCATGCTTAATTCCAAATAGAAATCAATAAATACACAATAAATAACATTTAAGAAATTCTTTCAAACAGTATTCTTTCCTAATAAATATAAATGTCAATGACAGACTTATTTGTATAATATCAGTCTAATTTACACCTATTCATAATTTACAATAAATAATTTTGAAAAGTTTTTTAATGATTAAATAGTTGACAGAGGCATTAAGTTTATTTATTTATTTTTAGAATTACTGTGGTAATGGATGATGATATAGTTCGCTTATATTGCAATGAAGATACATTTATTGTGGACATCATCAAAACAGAAGATAATAAATATGATATAACTTTAGAAGAACTCTAGTGTGATGTATTATTTGCTCTTCCAATCATCCTTCAGTTTGCCATTATTTCTGTACTTGTCATAAAGCAAGTATTGAAAAATCAGCTCACTTCCTGCTGATATTCAGCAATGCAAGATTTTTTACAACTTTTGCTTCACTAAATTTTGTTGCATGTCATTTTGGGGAATCATTCAAGCTGTAATTCATGTACTATTATTATTTCATAGGAAGCATATTTTTACGAAACTGTTTTCCTTAAAAAGTTAATTTGCTTTGGGACTGGTTATTTAATGTCATTTTAAAAGTTTTCACTTTATGGAAAGCATGAGCTTCTATAATTTGTCTTATTTTCTGAATCTTGTCTAATCATTGTTTTTTTGTATGCATTTCTCAAAATTTAAATGATATGATGAAATGTGTATAAAATCTTTTTTTTACAATCAGTCATAATGTTGTTGTGAACATATATTAAGTATTCCTTCAATAAAAATATAATCTTATCTTTCAATTCTGCTAAAAATATTGAATGTAAACATAGTCTGGTGCCAAATCATGAAACTTTGTTTTTACATCGTTGTGTAATATGTTGTATTTTGCATATTTTTACAATTTATGAATTTTATGCTCTACTGGACCTTTTCAATATTAAAATTCTAGATGTGTTTAATAATGAATTTACCTAAACTTTCCATAAAATATTCGGTAATGTGTAGCTTCTGTATAAAATTGGAATGCATGTAGAAATGAAAATATACTGTGGATGTTTTAATAAAATATATAATCTAAAGTACAGTAAGAAAATTCTTATATAATTAACAGAAGTTTAGTCTGCAAATGAAGACTATAATAATTGGTTGTTATAAATTCTTACTGCTTACACAGTTTTTATAAAGTATATGTGTTTTGTAACTTTTAATGTGCATGTTGATTATTCTTCTCTGTTTAGATCATTTATAAATTCTTCCTTAGAATTGTGAATAGCAAAATTAAAAAAAGAAATCATTTATCAATTTTTTTATCCCTCCCCCTTTTTTAAACAACCAATTCCTTATATATTGAGCCTTAATCAAAATAATGCCTGTGTTATAAATTCTTACTGCTCACACAGTTTTTATAAAGTATATGTGTTTTGTAACTTTTAATGTGCATGTTGATTATTCTTCTCTGTTTAGATCATTTATAAATTCTTCCTTAGAATTGTGTATAGTAAAATTAAAAAAAGAAATCATTTATCAATTTTTTATCCCTCCCCCTTTTTTTAAACAACCAATTCCTCATATATTGAGCCTTAATCAAAATAATGCCTGATATTGTAAATATGTTTACATAATATTTATTATATAGAAATGTGATAACAAAGTATTTACTTTGGACACACTTGTTTTAAGAAAGTATGTGTGAAACTATATTTACATAGTAAAAGCAATTTGTTGTTTTACAACTTTTGGGAGTGAGGGAGGACAGAAAGGATTTTCCTCTCTCAAGCTTTCAAATCTTCCAAACAATAAAAGCTTTCAAACTACTTATCAGATATTTTTATATTATATATATCTGCATTAAAAAAGTTGAGATTATGTAGTATTTCAATAATTCAAAGAATTGTATATATATTGTGTCTAAAAATGTACACTGAGTCTTTCATGAGTTGTTGGGGAAGGGTGTTAGTTTTTTTATGGCAGTTCCACAAAGAATCTGACACATAAATATAGTTATTTATCATTTATATACCCACTACTTTCATGCTTTTGGGAATGTGATAGTTGCTACCTCTTTTTATGAATTTTATTACATCTGAAGGTTGTAAGATGTTTGCTAGTGATTTGTCATGTTTTCTTACAGTACTTTGCTCATTCAAGTGAAACTGATACTATTTTAAAATAGAGAAACATATGTGATTACAAAAGAATAGTTTGAATGTAATAGAAAATTTTTAAGCATATTTTTATACTAAAGCTTGTGCTTTCCCACCTTTAAATTTTAAAAACTTTCAATTTTACTTCCTATCAAAGGTGGTAATCAACTTCATAATACTATGAATTCAGAACTATAATATTTTTAAAAATTCACTACATAATTTTTGTTTATTAGAATAACATGAGAATATGGATCATATTCTTTTCATTAGAATACTTGCAATTTGAAGCACAATAGCAAAGAACTGTTTTTTGGTTCATTAATTTATAATTTTCATTTGCAGTGTAAATATTTTTACCAAAATAATAAATACTGAAAGATCTCAGCAAATTTAGGTGCAAAGTTGAGATTTTTCGTTACATATTTAGACTTGCAAATTCCTATAAGTTAACTCATTCTTTTGAGTGTCTTCCAATATATATATATTACTCGTTAAAATCGCACAATATTATGTATTATTTGTTTTTCAAATCTACTTATACTGTTTTTGTTTAATATATTTGTTATGGTAATCAAAAGGCAGCTGAAAAATCTCAAGTATATTTTTGCTCTAATGCTTTTAGGTTTTCTACTGTAATTATAATTTCTTGTACATATCTGGGATTTGGTATCTAAAATGTACAGTATGAATTATTATGATTTGATATCAGTGTAAATATACCATCTTTTTTAAAATAAATTGTATCTTTTCTTAAATGATTATCTGAATTTTTTTAACATCACATACCACCTTAAATTCTTAGTAAATTATTAGATTAAAGCATTATTAAACTGATATGTATTTACAAACATAACAGAATAGCTCATTTTTGATTTAAGATTTAGCACTTTCAGTTCTAACACACACAATTTACATTTTAAGTATTTTGAACCCCTTTTGCTGAAACTAGAATGAAGTCAAGAACAAATACAGCAAAAGTTCAATAATCTGGCATATTCAGGATTTAAATGTGATGCCATATCAATAGATTAAATTAAATATTGCAAAATGACTTTTTTGACTATATGATAAATAAGTCTTAAAATTGTAATAAAATGTCTTAAAATTGTAAATAAGTCTTAAAAATTGCATATGATAAATTCTGAAGACATGTTTAATGAATCAAACTTATTACCAAATAAATATATTCATATTTTAATGACATTTAATCAGCTTTTGCTTTCTGAACTCATCACTAAGTAGCATGAAGTCAAAATTCTCACCTGCTTCAAAGATTCTGCACTTAATTTAAAAGAAAATTTCTTTAGAATGTGAAAGATTATTATTTCTCAGATATATAAAACTTTTATTTATTTTGTGAATTTCTTAAATGTATTTTAAAAATTTATCAGCCTGACTCCAAATGATTCTTGATTTAATCTTGATTCTTGTTTTTCTGTCTGCAGATTTAACACATTTTATTATGTTGCTATTTAAATCTTCACATACTAATTCATTTTCATCACTTTATACACTCAATAATTTCATTTTTTAAGCATTAATAAATAATTCATAGGTAAACTTTTAGCAATTTTAATAGCTTGTAGTAGTTTTTGGGTTGGTAATGCATTATATATGGCAATGTTGGTGAAAGGTGAAATATGTAGTATTACTCACTAATTTTGGTCTGATATCAGCTGGAAGTATCCACAAATCAAGCCTATCAGAATTTGATTTATAAAAGAGAAATTGAAGTAATATTCAGAAAATCAACCTTGACTTTTTTGCATATTTTTTGAGGAGCTGCATGATTTTTTATAACATTTATTAACTTTATAATCCTATATATAATTATGCAAAAATTTTAATTGCTGAGACTATGATCATTTGCTTCTCTTGTAAGCGTTTCATTGACTATATTAAAAACGAAGTTGGGAAAGGGAGAAATATTCAAAATAATAAATAAAAATTATGAATTTCAAAAACAAATGTGTGTTCCTGTTTTTTTAACAAATTTATATTTCTGTTAAGCCAAGCATGTTATGATTGAATTTAATTAAAGATTTCTATATGATTAAGACACAATAACACGCCAAATAAATACTAATTCAGAAGTCAAACAACAAAAATCAGCGTTAATTTACAAAATTTTCCCAGGACTAGTTTCGATGGTTTTACCGAACCATCATCTTCAGCTGCAAAAAACGCAAATGAACAAGATAGGAAATAATGTTTAGATAAGATAAGAAAGCCTGGACAAGAATAAGCAAGTGGCGCCATCTGTTGGCGAAACCAGAACTAAAACATAATTTCTCTAAAAGCCGAAGGCAAATTTGGATTGGAATTAGGATCGTTAACTAGAACAGAAAGATTTTTATGAATGTGAAATGCCTCTAGAAAATCCCGTTCTCCAATGGAAGATGTTTTTTGAATAATTTTGGCAGCAGAAAAATTGATCATTGATTGATTCAAAAAAGCCTTCATAATAATGCTTTTTTGAATAATTTTGGCAGCAGAAAAATTGAAAGTGTGATTTTCGGACCAACAATGTTGAGCAACAGAAGACTTCTGTGTTTCCTTTTTTCTAACATATGCCTCATGTTCTTTGAACGCATGAAATTTTAAGGCTCTCTTAGTTTGGCCAATGTAAATTAAACCGCACTGGCAAGGGAATCCTATAAATACCCCAGGAATTCATATCCGGACTGGGATCCTTGAGTATAGGAAGTTGGAATTTTATTGATGAGAGAGTAAACAACCCGAAAGTTTAAATTTCTGCAAAATACATGTGCAACTTTTATAGCCAATTGATGGAAATGAAGGGAATGACAACAGAATTTTTATAATCTCCTAAAATAAGAGTGTGGCTTTTAGTGTGTTGAGATGAGAATTTTTTAACTGCTTGATTAATAATGTTGAGTGAAAAGCCCCTGTCAATAGCTATTGCTTTTAAATAATTTAGTTCTTCATCAAGGGCTAGTTTGGAGGAGCAAACTTGAAGAGCACGGAAAACATAGGAATAAAATGAAGCTAACTTTTGTTTAGTCGGATGACATGATTTAAAGTGTGGTGGAAGGCAAACCGATGAAGGTTTACGGTAAACTGTAGTACTGAAGTTGGATGTGTTACGTGTGACCAGAATGTCGAGAAACGGAAGAGAATTGCAAGTCTCAAGTTCAAAAGTGAACTGAATAGCAGGATCAATAGAATTCATTGTTGAAAGAACTCTATTTAAATCATCTTTATTACCTTCAAACAGGGTAAAAGTATCGTCTACGTAGCGGAACCATGCCGGGAAGTTTAAAGTTTCAAACAATTTTGATTCATAATAATGCATGTAGATATCAGCCAGGATGGGACTGAGGGGGGGCTTCCCATGGCTAATCCCTCAGTTTGCTTGTAATATTTATTTTGGAAAACAAAATGTGTTTGTTTCAAACAGAATTGAGTGAGAGAAATTAGCTCATCAATTTCGATGCAAGAGAAATGAAATTCGCGAAGTCTGGTTTCTAGACATCTTAATGCACCCTCCACTGGGACATTGGTGAATAATGATTTTACATCAAAAGAAACCATGAGTAAATTACGAGGAGAAATGTTTTTAACCTCTTTTACAAACTCTATTGAATTTTTTATGGTGTAAATGTTATTGTCTAATAGAGTGGAAAATCTAGAAACTAAATATTTAGCTAATGGATACGAGGCAGTACCTAAATTTGATACAATAGGGCGGAAAGGAATACCACTTTTATGAATTTTGGGAAGAGCATATAATCTGGCACAATTCGCAACAGATGGGATAAGCGAATGTTTTAAGTTGCTTGAAATGATTTGCAAAGATTTGATCGCAGTTTTTATTTTGGATAAGTCCGAAGGTGAAGGATCTTTAGGGATCGGATTATATGGTCCTTCGTTTAAGAGTTTAGTGACACCATCGATGTAAGTGTTCTTATCCATGACGACTATCTGGCCACCTTTGTCGGCCTTTGAAATGACAATATCCGGGTTAGAATGAATCTCGCGCATTGTAGCTCTTTCTCTCGCAGTTAGATTTGATTTCAAAGGTTTATTATTGAATTTCACATTATGAGCGATAAGATGCCTAATCATTTCTTTCTGTGAATCTGAAACTTTACTGAACTTGAAAGCTTTTTCGATAGGAGCCAAAATCTTTGGAATCGAGGGTTTACAGGTCTTGTTCATTTGCGGTTTTGCAGCTGAAGATGATGGTTCGGTAAAACCATCGAAACTAGTCCTGTGAAAATTTTGTAAATTAACGCTGATTTTTGTTGTTTGACTTCTGAATTAGTATTTCTATATGAATTCCATAGCTGCCAAATTAAAATTAATTAATAAAAGCTTTTTGCTTAACTTTTACTCAAATAAATATGAGACAGTTATAGAGCAGTATCTAATTATCAATAAAAACAGAATGAAAGAAATTAGTTGTAGTAGTATGCACATAGATATGACACTGAGATACTTACAATAACAGAAGTTTTCATTACAAGGTCAATTAGATAGTGGCACTGTTTTATGTTCAGTAATATTTTTGGTTTGAATTTGAGAAACATAAAATTTATTTCTTCATGAAAAGTGCCCACATGTCAATAGTAAGGTCTCTTAAAACAGTGAAAAAATCAAATTGTAAAATCAAATCTATCCTTTGCTGCTGCAAAGTTTATAATAAAATTGTGCTTTTATAAATTCTTTGTTATGTTAAAAAAATTCATGGAATAATATAAAAAGTGATCTCTAAAAATATATCTCTTCTATATGGTGCGTAATATTCTCATATGGAAAAACTGAAATTTTTAACAGAAACTGAAACTAATGATGATTTGCTATACGAGGATAAACAAATTCAGAAATCGCTTAACTTCTGGCAATTAGATACTGAAATTTTAGGTGACTTTTCATAGTTCTGAAATCCTGGACATGACCTTACCTTGGTATATATATTAGTGATTTTTCAGGAGACAGATGAAACATAGCAGATTGATATCCAGATAACCACTGTATTTTGAAACAGACATAACCCACTTATTGAGTTTGTGTGCAGAGTCAAAGCATCAATGAAAACACACATTATGGAAATACCAAGAAGACTGTGATGTGCCATTCCAAATTACAAGATTGCCTTGTGTCTGACAGCTATGATCATCCTTTATATAAATATTTAACTCTGTATCATCACATTCACAAATATATCAGAACTTTTATGAAAAGTTTGTTAGATATCTAGTTTTACACCTGTTAATTTTAATCGCTCAAATCTGATAAAAAAAAAATCTTTAGATTTGGGAATAACACAGAAACAGATATTGTATCTTTCACATTACTTTGCATTATCCACAACACATCATGCATTTCAGTTTTCAGGTCTCTTGACTAGCAAACCTTACATCTCATATACTTAGATTTAAAATGATTTTATCTTTCAATTTATTTTATTTGTATCTTGTCACCTAAAAAGAAGTTTCCAAAGTCACTGGAGGGGGGAGGAACCTTTAAATTTACGTCAAATTTCGATTCAAAGGTTAATTTAGTAGCTAATATCCGTCTTGCAAAATGTTAAAAGAAATAACAGTATTTTTTACTGATATTGCAAATTAATGCAATACAGTGGTTCTCTTTTGCTGCCCCATGCCCCTTTTACCATTGCTAGACGATCACTGTCCCCTCTCTTTTCAAAACTTGGAAAAATGTATGCACATTTATTTAGATTTACATAATTTTTTAACAGCACAACAGGAAGCAAGTAGAGTCGGACTGACCGAATCCACTCCCCCAGTTGAGAACCTATGATATAATAGCAGAGAAAGTCTACAGCTCATCTCGTTTGTGGTTTTAGTGCATTCCAGCTGGAATTAAGATATCAATTAAAAACTGGAAAGTTTCATTAGCCAGGTTCCGGCTAAATTTAAGCAGCAAACTCTTCTTCAGGGCTTTATTTACACAGCAGAAGAACACTGATTTTGTGACTGATTTAAAAAAGTTGTACAAGTCCCAATGTTTTTAGTAAAATATAATAAGCCCTTTACAAAAATGCATATTAAAATGAAAAAATCAAATGAATGCTCAAATTATGAAAAATTTTATTATATATACAATATAAAACTATATGAAATAAACCCAAATTTACTATACAACATCATTCAAGGACTGTATCTTTCATTCCTCATGAAATTCTCAAATTCTTTAATCACAAAATGGTAAATAATCCACATTGATTTAAGAATTTTCATGTTCTTGATGTCTAAAACAAAATAAATAAATGTGTTTCACAAACATACACGAATTTAAAAAAAAATTCAAAACCAATGAAAACATACTTCAAATTGTATAAATACAAAAAATATAACGTACTGACAGTTAGGACACGAATAAAAAACTGTTTGCCCTTCATCAGCAGATCGAGTTTGTAGAGTTGCATATGTCATATTCTGATTTCCACATTTTGAGCATTCTCTGTCAACCTGTATATAAAAAAATGTACAGTGATAAACAAATACACACTAAATTACAGCTAAACATATGTATAAAAGACCATGAAAAAGTGCAAGAGAGAACACAATATTTTAACAATTATAAAGGTTTTCATATTTAGAAACAAACTTCTATGAGGGAAAGTCTGTAAGCCTCAAACTACAGAAAATATGAAAGAAAAATAATCGTGAATACAAATATATATACACAGGATGTTTCATATTAAATGGGACAAAAAGAAAGCATGCCTGTGAATACATACCCTACACATTGGATATACTATCACTCAGGTATTGGTGCATGTTTTTATGGCAAAGTGGTGGAGCAGAATTTGCTACAAAATGAAGCTGGGTCCGCTTCCTTCAATTGAGAGAACAACCACTCTAATAGCATATCTTGGTAAATGTACCTGTTAATCAAATTTTCCATGAAGAAAAAAAGGACCAAACCTACAATTGCTGGAAAAGGCGCAGAAAATATTCACTTTCGGAAAATCACGCTCATGTACTATTTATTACACCATGCAGATTTTCCGTCCCCCAAAATTACAACGTATGGTGATTAATGTTGCCAGAAATATGAAAAGTAGCTTCATACATAAACATGAGTCTGTTCACTAAACCATCTACAGAGTTTCAACTCTTCCGATTTAGGAGGAAGACTCCCGATTTCAGACCGTTCTCCCACCAATCTGATTTTCAATGGATTTCTCCAGACTTTTTTCTTATTCTTAAAATTTCTCCCGATTTTTATGTATCTTGGCTCAATACTAGCTGCCAATGAGCAGAAACCAAGATCAAAGCTGTTACAAAGAATATGTGTTATACTTTCTTTGGTTGTTATTTCATTCATCTTGTCATTGACCGGTGAGCACACATGCTTTCGAGAAATAGCTTAAGAAATTACGATCTTTTGTGTTAGTCATGTCTGCGAAAAAGGAAAAATGCTCATGCACTTTTCAAAAATCGTACACAGATGACTTTCCTTTTACTATTTCCACAAGAAAATGTAATACATTTGCAATGTGTACTGTTTGTCATTGCGATTTTTCAATTTCGCATGGTGGAAGAGCCGATGTTCTCAAACATGTGTGTACATGAATAAACAAGGACAAAAGTAATTCTGTTGAAAAAAAAAATAATAATAATAATTAGATTTTACCGTGGAAACAAAGGACCAAAAAGTAATTAATACCGATGTCTGTTCTCTGCCTTTTCACTTGAGCACAACTTGCTACTGAATGCATCGGATCATGCTGCAGCTTTATTTAGAAAATTGTTTCCCAATAGCGAAATCGCTAAGAAATATTAAAGTGCAAGGACCAAAACGGCTGCAATTGTTAAGGAAATGGGTATGAGAAATAAATCTTCAGTTATTAACTGCATTGATAAAGCTCCATTCTGCCTCTCTATGGATGGAAGCAATAATACTGTTGCATGCATACGGGTTTGTTATGAAATGAATGCACAAGTCTGATGAAAAATGAACAAAATTTATTATTATCACAACAAAATTCTTAAATTTCCTCAGATATTCGTGCAGTATTACAGTATCTCTAAGTAGTTATTTAGCTACTCAAACGTTCAAGAGAACTTAATTCAAAACAGCTAAAGAAAGCTAATCCGTGAATTCGCTAGTCAACAAGAGCAGTTTTCTAAACAAACTGTTAATACAACAACAAGCTAACTAACTGAATTGAGAGGTTTTTCCTTTTTATAAGATTTTAAATCGCGCGTGAGAAATTTCTGGAACTTTCTCGAAATCAAAAAGAGATATTTCTTTATTAAATGTTAAATGCACATGCTCTTGTATTTTTAATTTTCTGGCTTAGCTTTCCTTTAATATTTGTCACGCGCTACACTGCACGGGGAATAAACAATTTAATTTATAATTCTACCAACATTAGCTAATTAAATACCAAATTCGTAACAATACTGATTCAAAACTGTATCCAATTGTTGTTTCTTATTTTAATCCAGTTCCTTCAGAAACTGAGTGTAGTTTACATTCTGTTCCCACCTTAGAAGGCCATTCGACAGGTTTTATTAAACCACAGCTAATTATTAAAGATTTAAAATGCAATTCCTCTGGATAATTTCTGTGTTTGGTGCTGATAATGCACCAGTAATGGTAGGTTTGAAGACTGGTGTTGCAGGTATCTTAAAAAAAGAAGCTTCAGATTTGCAAATTATGAGGTGCACCTATCACCTCTTAAATTTAGCAGCTGAAAAAGGAGCAGCTTCTTTACCAATAAATGTTGACTGCCACTGTTAATAGTATTTTTGCACAAAAACTGATTAAAGTATTATTTTTTGTTTAAAGATGCAAGTAATAAAAATGTTTTTTATAAGTAAGTATTTTTATACTGTTTTCGTTTAAGAATTAGTAACTGAACTTTCAGAGTTGTTTAAAAGTTAATTCATTCTTAAAAAATATATTTTTATCATTTAAAAAGTTTTTTTGTCGTTGAGAAAAATCTCGTGATTTTTGAGTGTCTTACCTGCATCTACCAGAAACTTCATTTGCAAATTCTAACAGAAAGCTTTATGCAACAGTTTATCAAAGGTTTTAACGCTTGCACCATCTGAAAGTGTATGACTAGAATTGTAGACATTTCCATAACACACTGTTATGGACATTACATGAGGCACATTGAGTTCAGAACTTGCAGAACATGTTGATTTTGTGGACTTCCTAAAAGCGGTTCATAAATTTTTTTCAACCACTTTAGGCTGGTTTTCTTACACAAGCAGCACATAACCTGAAATTGCTTCACCCAGCATTTACAATTGTGATGATGCGGTTCTTCACCATATCTCATGCGAAAAAGCCTTTGAACGATGATAAATTATAATGCTTTTGCGTATTGCTAAATGCAGTACGCTTTCTCCTGCATGGATGGCACCATTTTAATTAACAGTGACTCTAGCTGTGATTTCATAACGGAAGAATTTTCCCTGTTCCAGATAAAACCTGTATAATTGTAGTTTCAAGAGCTAATTCTGCCTATTCTTTCTGTCTCATTCAATATGAAACATTCTGTGTATGTAATGCAGATAACTTATTATTACAATAACTTAATTTGGGAATATACACCAATTCTCTTTTTAACATAGCCGAGAAGACTGTTGTACAGATGATGACTGGAGGAAACATCACAAATGGCTTGGGGGTTAAAAACCTTATTTTTATTTTTTAATAGGAACAATTCTTCAGAAACACATTTTTTCTTAACTGGTACAACACTAGAGGTGCTAAAATGCGTCCCACAATTTTGTATTCGGAGTCACATTTTAGAACAATGGAAGAATGCCGATAAGTGAAGAAATGTCATTTTAGCAAGCAAGTTTAGGCAGCAAAAGAGAGAACGTAGTTGGATTGCAGCAGTATTTATAGTAAAATTTTTTGTTAATCTGATTGGCTAAGAACAAAATGCAAATGGTTAAGATGACATAAAGTGGATTTAATTTTTAGATATGACACACTTTTGGAAAAGTTATTATTTTTAGAATAGAGAGAGGGGAAGTGTCCAAATTAAAAAAGAGGAATTAAGGAGCTATTACTAATTTAACCTACAATTCAGAATTACATATTTCTTACCTCACATATATATATTAATTCAACATTAGCTAGTAAAATGCTACAGATAATTCATAAAATACATATATGAAATTTTTTATCCCCAAATACAGATTCTCTGATAAAAATTAGAAGCATTTTGAAAGCTTAGAAGATTACAAAATAGTGTTGCCCTATCACATACAGTTAGGGTTTACATTATTTTTATTGCCAATTTATACTGATATTACTGCTAATATTTTTAACATTCTGTTCGAAATTAGCAGAATAATTTGCAACTTTTTGTGCATCGCTTATATATATATATATACAATGTACAATACTCTAACTGATGCAAATAATTTCACAGCTCCATTAAAATTGATTCCTCAAAATTTCAGGAAATTTTCTAACATACTTTGTTGTAAAATTGTCAAATTATTTATAATTTACTTAGCTAAGTGACTGTTTATTGGTTATATATTGTTGCATGCATAAGGATTCATAATAGATTTAATGCACACAGAACCCACAATAGCTCGATAAAATTTATTCTACGAAAAGAAACACTTCAGATTTCTGGAACTTTCCACAAAAATACTTGTACGGCTCTTCACAGTATCACAGAATGCAATCAGTAGTTACACTTCAAACTTCTAAGAAAATTAAAAACAGTGCATATAAAAGGCGAAGCTCTAACAGATATCTCAAAGCTCTGAATTCAGCTCTGAACTAATAACAGGGAAATTGACGCTCTCTCCAGCCCTAATAACTGGGAATCATGCTCTTAGTATTTGCCCTCCCCCGGCCACCGAGCATTTCATGTTATATTATATAAAGAATACTAGGAATACACATATAATTTCACTAAAATTATTTACATATTCACGAAATTTGTTACATTGCCGTGTTCCCAAAGACTGAAAGTCCCACACAGTACAATTCTGGACAGGAAGCCATACTTACAACTAAGGAAAATGAGTGCTATACTAAAACAATAATTTCAATAAATAAACAAATCAAACACTAAATCAAAACATAAATGCATGAATTTACAGCTACGTATATAAATAGTACCATAGTCTGGACTTCTGTGATTCCGGATTTTTCCAGATATTAGATCCTCAGTTTAACGCTTGTAAGATGGCATGTAGAAATTATACAATAAAAAATATAAAATCGTGATTTATGAAATAATGAAGCATTTATGATCTAAAGGGTAACAAAATCTGAAAAAAAAAAGACTTAATATTTATTTATTTAGTTTATTAAATATTTCTTTCAATGTAAGTTGTTTAAGTTGCTTTTTTTGTGCTAATATTTTCTCTTTAATTCTATAGACAGACATAATTTCTTATTCAGTTACATTGTTCAAGTTCTGTAATTGCTGTGCCGAGAATTCTGACTAATTTGTCAATCGAAATTGTTTCGTTTTTAATGACTTCTCTCACACTTTCTTCACTATCGGTAGTGGTACTTTCTGGATATAGAACCATACTACATATTTTGGCGTCCGTTGATTGATAATTGGGGCAATTTCAACATAATGAAAAACTTGCATTGTATCATCTTCATTTATTACCGCTTCTCCACATTTCTTTAAAAATTCCATTAAGTGGAAAATTTAGCCTTTGGTTTGCGATATTTGAAAACCTTCAGATTCGCAGCTATCATATTCGTCAACCTCACTATGAAACATGTTAGCTGACAATAAATTATGCCAAGCATTTTTGAAAGTATCTGGAGACACATCCTCCCACAAAGATTTTACGCTAAAATATTTAAAAAAATTCTTGAAGAGTGTTGCTATTATCCAAGAAATTTAACATAGATTTTAAAAAATTCTACTTTATATTCCATTTCAGCACGTGCACTATTCTGATATCCATCGGCTGAATGATTGATTGATGTACAATTTGGAAAAAAGAATAATACAAATACATTATTGTTCACTAAAACTTTAAGTGAAGTAAGCTAAACAGTTGTCCACAATGCAAAAATTGCTAGTCTTGCTTTGGAATCTTTGACACGAGTCGGAGCCTTTTCTGTAGAGGTTGCCAAGGTATTTTGCAAATATATATTACCAGAAAAGACCAGTTTTATCAGTGTTATAAATTTGTTCTAGAGATATATATTAATGAGTTCAATGAATTCATCTGCAAATAATATCAGCTGAAGCATTTTTACCTGAAATTCTTAATTGCTTTATAGCGATTTTTAAATTTGGTTAACCAATCTGTCAAATATGTGCACTCAGTTTCTAAGTACATTTCTTATTGAAATATTTTAGCTTGCGCCATTAGCATTTGACCGGACCAATGACAAGCGCTCGCTGCAATGCTTCCCATTCAGTTATCAATTTGTCATGATCTTCCCTTTTAGCATAATGAATATTTTTTGTTTTCGTTGAGAGTAGGGTGTCAGAATCCACAAAAAATTCATAAAGTTACTTATGTCATATACAGATGACTTCCTAATACCATACTCCTCATATAATTTTGAGACGGATATACCTTTATCCATTTTTTTCCCAGCAATTACACATTTTGTTTAATGTACATCAAAATATGATTTCATTTTGTAGATCCTGTTGCAGCTCGAGAATTAGAAACTCTTTTCAACATGATCGAAAGCTGAAACTTTAATTTTCATCAAATTGCTATAATAAAAACAGCCTTCAAAAAATAATTGAATCAAATCAGAAAGTTAAGGAACAGCACAATCTGCTATATTGGCTGATATTCCTTGGAATCAGTAAAGTATAATTTTAGCCTGGCTTAATAGCATTCGCTATACATTATTGGCTATGTATCATGAAATTGGTGACAAGAGACAAGTTGTTCCCCTAAATTTCATCCTGCTCCTATCGTGCACTAAATATCTATCTAGATTTCTTACTGCCGGGTGCAGTCTCTGCGGGTCCTAAATTCTGGCTACCAAGTGTCTCCCTATGTTCTAAATTTTTGTGGCCCCTAAATTTTGGATCCCAGTGCTTTCCCTAAATTCTAAAAATATTTTCATCCTTTAATTTTGTTACTCGGTGCTTCTCTAAATTCCAAAAATCTTGTCTTTTCTAAATTCTGCCACCCGGTGTGGCAATACGATCTCTGGTGCCAACTCTGAGTTTACGTGAAAAGCAAATCAGTTATTCTTAATTCAAATAACACTTAATGTAATCTTTTGGCTTAATGAGTATCATTAACAAAATCTATTTTTAGCATACGGAAAAATTTTTGTTAAATTTTTCCTTATCAGTATTTTATAGTGCATTTAACTTATATCTGTAATCATTGCCAAGCATAAGAATGTCATACTCTTATGTACTAATATGAAAAAAAAAATTGTTTGGGCATCGCTGCATGAGTCATTACTTGTCACATGTTGATAAACATTCAGTGACGAAAGCAAAATATAATAAATAATGATTCGCCAGGTTGGAGCCAGGTATATAAAATATTAGTAGGTGTAAAATCAATGAGTAAAATATTAGTAGGTGTTTCTATCTAGAATGTTTCGGTTTGAGATGTATGCCAAGCAGGGCCAAATTATTGATCACACAAATTTATGCTAAATTATTGTTCCTTTTTCTTTAATGACGAGGTACAGCACAAAGTACGTAATCCGGACTCGTTGGGACTTCGGCGATTCCGGATTAAGGGTTTTTCCAGATTATAGATCATCAATTTAAATCTGGTAAGATGGCATGCAGAAATTATACAATTAAAAATATGAAACCATAATTTATGAAATAAAGAGCAATTATGATCTAAAAAGGTATCAAAATTTACATAAAAAAAAAAGCTTAATATTTATTTGTTTACTTTATTAAACATTCTTTCAATGTAAGTTGCTTAAGTTGCTTCGCTTTTTGTGCTAAATGCACATGTGTAAACATTAAACGTGCATGCATAAACATTAAACTCGCATGCGTAGCATTAAACACGCATGCGCAAAAGCATATAAAAAAAAGTTTGTGGCTTTGAGGTTCGGATTATAGATCATTCCAGATAATGGACGTCCGGATTACAGACTTTGTACTGTATTTATTTAGTGCTGAAGGGAAATTAAGAATCGGGACTCTACACATGTTTTACGAATGGGGAAAAAAATGAAAAGCATATGCGTAAAGCATTAAGTTGTTGGCGGTTTTGAAGTTTTGCATTTTAGATCATTCTGGATATTGGACATCCAGATTTTGAACTTTGTATTGTATACTATTTACATTATATACACAATGAGGACTATGTTCTATGGCCACCGTAATGAATAACGTTGTATAATTTTAGCCTAGCTTAATAGCATTAGGCTTAATTTGATGAATTATGGATACGAACTACAATGTCATTCAGCCTGTTTAGGATTGTGAAAGGACAATCCTAGAGTGACTGTAGTTTAGGAAAGAGACCTTTTAATCGAATTGATTGCATAACCACACCTTGTCATCTTCGTTGAATCGATGTTCTGTAGGTCTCATGTCATTGGGTCCTCATCTTCTCCGTCACCAAGCTGAGTCGTTATTGTGCATCATTCCTGTACTCATCAGGTGATGAAGGTGCATCTGGAAGGCAGCCAAACAAGAGAACACAAGACAGACAAAAGTCCCAACCGAAGAGCACCTGCGATGGGGAATAGCCAGCAAAGTCGCACTATTAATTTCATGTGCCTATTACAGCCCCACTGCAATAGGCCTGTAAGAACACAGGTAACTTCTAATCGCAGTAATGTTCATTTCTGGAAACTATAAGCAAGAAGTTATTAAAGACGGTTCAATTAAGCCTCTCTACCATGCCATCTGACTACAGATGTGAAATTGTCGTTTTGGTTTTGTCGATACCGAGTAGCTTGCAGACATCTTTGCTTATAACCCGAGATGAAATTCCTGATTGGAATGTGACTGAAAAGGCACTCCAAATCTGTAAATCCAATGCTATATAATTACTTCTGCTACTGCTACAGCCTCTTGATCAGGAATAGGATATGCTTCATGCCACTTGGTGAAGTAATCAATCACAATGAGGATGTACTTATTGCCAACAGCAAGCAGTTCCTGGCAGAGGTCCCAGGATATTGAAGGCAATGCCTTCAAAAGGTTGCTCCTACACTATAACATTGCAAACTTTCTCTGTCTGCATTCCTTTGGTCCTTTCCAGCTGATACTGGCACTGCAAGATAGGTAGCATTTTTATTCTGAATTTCAAACATAATTTACCAGTCTTTGGGATTTTTCAAAAAATGCTAAAATTTTCAGCCTCCGCACATCTATTTACTTTAAAATTTCAATATTCAGAAAAGTATCTAATAAAGTTTTGAAATTTACACAGTTCTTAACTATTTCTTAAAACTAGAATTTTTTTAAAAGTAATAATAAACACAATTATTAGCTGAACCTGTGACACTGCATTAACTGGAATCATTAAAACTGATATACACGTTTTCTTTTGTATAATAACTACTTTAGGAGGCCAGCTGCTGACCTCAGATTTCATTTACAAGCAACCTATATAAATGGGACCCAAATTAAAATTTTATCTCGGCCTTACTAGAGGCTTAATTAGTCACTGCATCCAGCAGTAGTTTAAGGTCATTGTCTAACATACCCACCACAACAATGCTACAAGTCATGCAAATGATTTTGTTTTTCCTAATGAACAATCTAATATATACAAATGATTTTGTTTTTCCTAATGAACAATCTAATATATGCAAATGATTTTGTTTTTCCTATTGAACAATCTAATATATAAAATAGTATAAAGTTATAAACAGCCAAACTGTTATAAGATCAATATTACCAAAGGACCAAGAGCAGCACTTTTTCTTTCTTCTTTTTCTTTTTCCTTTTTTCTCCTATATTTGCCCTTATTATTAAACTTGATTTCATAAGCAATAGTTAAGCCATCAAACTCTGAAAAACAAATTTTTAATACTTAAAAAATTAAATACAGATACGTGAAAAATAGATGTCTAAATTATCCCTGTATTTGCATCAATAAGAATTAAAATGTTTTATTTCAAGATACAAGAGGAAATATCTGTTGCAAGGTCTTTAATTAATGTATATGAAGCTAAAATTTTGCTGATTAGCTAAAATGTTATACTGAAACTACTTACACTTTTGTAATGGAATTCAAATATATTACATTATAAATATAACAAATATATTACATTATAAATAAAACAAAAATACTACTTTTCTAATTAATTATAAATTAAAAATGGTAAATATTTTAAAAGTAAAAAGAAATATTGGACTGATAATACATGGACAACACTAATCAAAATAGTTTCATAATCAAATATGTTGCATATTAAAAATTTCAGAATTACGTTTGCCAATTTTGTGACTGATTGATGTGGCTACTTTAAAAAGGAAGTACCATAAAATGTAAAGTAATAACTTCACATCAAACCTCTAATAAACAATAACTATAATAAATATACACAGGCTGTCTCAAAATTCCTTATACAAAGTTTGAGAGGAGGTACAGAAGACTGATATGAACCATTTTTAAAACGGAAACCTTAATGTGACACACCACTTGTAGTAGATAGAATAGAGAGACAAAGACATAACAAAAACACAATATGCAAAGCAGTATAAAGTATTTTATTAAATATAGCAGTTGCACAAAAATATGGAAACAAGGAAATAAAAACACACTGCTGTGGTGCAGGAAAAGTGTTGGCATTCAAAACAGCTTGCAGGCTTGGACTAATAGAGGTCTTGTATGCTTTGCAAGGGGATCTTGTACCATTCTTCCTGTAAACAATGATGGTTAATAATGATGGCGGTGGATAGAGCTCACATGGATTTCTCTCCAAAGACTCAATAATATTGATATCTGGTGATTGTGGTGGCCATGCTAGAACAAGGAAGTTCACCCTCATGCTCAGAAACCAGTCCTGGGCTATGTGAGATCAGTGAACAGAAGCTTTGTTATTTTGGAACTATTGGGGAAGAAAATTTATACCATGGGATGGACATTATCAGCAAAAGTGATCACATAATCCTTGACAGTAATGAAGTGTCCCCATGGAATACCATAATATGGCTGCCCAAACCATGACCAAACCCCCACTATGTTTGACTCTTGGCAGCAAACAGTGTCCATCATATGCTTGAGACAGCATTTGCCTCGCCAGACATAAACTTGCCCAGAAGTCGGAAACAGTGTGAAGCAAGACTCATTTGACCAAATACATCATCCATTGCTTTATAGTCCAAATTTTATTTCTCCTCTTAAGGCATTCTACTTTTCTAATTAATTATCTCTGATCAGTGGCTTTTGAATTGCAGCTCGCTCAAAAAGACCCTGCTTGTGGAGCTCCTTTCATACTGTTTCGGTGCCAATAGGGTAGAGTTTGAGAGTGTGACATTCAATTCAGCAGTCAAATTTGAGACTGTAGTCTTCTTGTTTTTCATCAAATTCCTCTTCAATGATCGTCTGTCAGGATCATTAAACAAACATTTTCGTCTGTGCTTCGATTTAGAGAATGCTATTTTTCCAGTCTTACTGTAATTAAAAAATTTTAAATACTGTGCTTCTTCAAACACCAAACACTTCAGCTACAATTTGCCCACATTCGGATTCATTTAGTTCCAACATGATGCACTAACAACTGCACAGAACATTGTTTCGATAACAAATTGTACTTGCGACATATTGAGGATGTTTTGCAAGTGGTGTTAGTGAGCAAACACATCAGTGCCACCGATAGCTTTTTTAAGAATAAACCTTTCAGCTCAAACATGCATTTTATGAGGTGTTTCCATATTTTTGTCCAACCCTGTATAACTTAAAAGTACTATGTGTTAGTAAACAACTGGTGGATACAAAATACAATTTCATAAACTGTATTCTCTATCCACCAGATGTATCTACTGTACGTAGAATACAGTTGTGTTAAAAGTTCCTGGAACTTGCAGTGATATATGTTTAACACTGATACTACGTGAATTGCTGAATATTTTCAAAAGTTTTGTAAATATTAGTAATGGTCATGGTAATTCTTATCACCAGTTCCATATCAGAAGTAATGGGTATTCTGTGCACAATGGCCTTGAAGGTCTGTTACAAAAAGAAACTAAAGCTAGATGAATCAGGCAAAAACGGTTGCCATGTGACAGATTCACACGCGACGTTGGCATTTTATCTCAAAGAAAATACATTTCAATTATTTAGGAAAGTGAGCAAAGCATTTCCAAGAGAATGACTGATCCGTATACTAAGTTTATATAGCTTTTTTTTAATTAATATTATTTATTCTCATTTTTAGAGCCTTTAATCCAAAAAATTGTTTGAAAATTTCAGGCTGTTTATGTCATAGGACAAAAAATTTCATTTCGGAAAGAAAAAATAGTATAGAAAATTAACAAACTTTTGAAGATGCTTATTATTAATTTATGGTTTTTTCCTCCTAATGTGGTAAACTCATATGAGAATAAAGTGAGTTAAAAACAAAAAAAAAAAAAAAAAAAAAAAAAGGGAATCGTTTGCCTGAAAGAAAAAATTACTCACGTATTTAGAAGTGAACTTGAGAAACTTTATTTTCAATCAAAATTTTATGTCAGTATGTATGTAAAAGTAAACCAAACAGAAAATATAAAATACATTTAAGAAGTAAATATGCAGGATTTGTATATATAAATCAAAATATATTATGTACATTTTGTATACATACATTTCCGGATGTGGTCCCAATAACAGAAGAGCACAACCCTGATTTCTATACACACTGGAAATGTAGAACTCATATCCAATACTATTAACTTTTCTCAGTTGAACTTTTACATTATTTCAATTTTTTAAACACTGTTTAGTTTCAATTCATGAAAAACTGTATTTTTCTGTGCAATTAAGCTTTTGATTGTAGATAATTTTGTCGTTTACTCTGATTTTTTTCTACAGACAAATTAATATAAGTACCCACACATATTTCTATAAGATTTCATTCTTTATATATATTGCATAACATCTGAAAGTACAAAGAATGAGCCCTGTAAAGCAAAGTACTTTTTTAAACATTTATAGTTTAAATTAAGGATTCCCAGCCTTTTTCTTCATTAACCCTTTTATATTTTTCTCTACTATATATAGCATACAACATAGTATCAATACAAATAATTGTGTATACATAGCTCAAAGATTATAGAAGTAGATTAAGAATATGCATAACAGATTTGGAAAAAAAAATATTTTTTTAGATTTATGCTTTATTATTATTTTGAACTTTAGAGATATAAACAGGATGCAAAATCACAGATTATAACTGCCCCAGAGTTTGATTTTAATGAATGTAATGGCTGCACTTGATGTATTGAAATAATTTTTTAAATATTTGGCATAAAACTGCTTAATTCTCAGCTTGTTTCTTGCTTCCCGTAGTAAGTTGTTGATTTGACTAAAGCTTCTTTCTGGTAAGTAAGAGGAAGACAATTCTATAATATTGGTTTGGTAACGTCTTCAATTTTGAGATATTTCTCTCAGATGATTTATAAATTACCAAACTTAGTGCACTCATATGTTTTGAATATGACTTGATTTATTTGTATAAGAAGGTTTTATATCAGTATACTATTACTTATCCTTTTTTATGAATACTTTTTTTTTACAGTCAGTGAATCTTAATTGTGCTGATCAATTGTCATTGCATATTTGTATATCGAATCGTTGACCATCATAGAGACCCTTTAAAAATTCATCAACCCAAATGAGAAACCCTGGTCTAAAATCTAACTAATAAAAATTATTCTAAAACATTTTTAATATTAGAAACCATTTTAAATTACTAAAGGTTTTGCACAATATCTCTTCATAAACCATTTTTATAAAAACCTTTTAATAATTATTTTATGTAAGATCAGATTGGACTGGAATATGGTAAAGCACTTAAAATTCCTATTGAGAATAAAAGTATTTGTGGAAGACTTTTTACGCAGAATGTAAAAAGGACAAAATTGAGCCATTCTATTTATTTGCCAGAAATACAATTAATGTTGAACTACCAATATTTCAAAACTTTAGCCATTCCACCATTTAAATTTGCATCAGCAAATATTCATAAAGATAAAATTTAAAATAATTGCCCAAGCTACTATACTTATCTCAGTATACAATATGAAGAATGTATAATGAATTAAATTACAGTCAAAAGTCGTTAATTCGGACACCCATAATCCGGAATCATCTATAATCCGGACCTCAAAGCTACAAACTTTCTGTGCATGCGTTGTGTTAACGCATGTGCATAGGCGTTTACGCATGCGCGCAAGACCTTTACGGCTGTGCATACACGTGTGCGCATGCGCATAATACGTTTACGCATGCACGTTTAATGTAAACGGACGGTATAAGCTAAAATTATCTAATTATCTATTTCAGTTAATGTTGCAGATTGCGTCCTTAATCTTCGAATTGGATCTGGCTTATTATTTTTTGTAGACTGTTAGAGCAATTTTATAAAAGTAAGCTTGAACTTTCGATTATGTCAAATAGAATTTCCAATGCTGGAGCTCCCAAAGGATCTACAAAGTGAAAGTATGTTCGATGTCCATCAAACAAAAAGTGGAATTGCTGTAAAAAATGGATAAAGACATATCCTTTGTTTCTCTAACCATTCCGAAATCTGTTTATCAATTTCATGCTGCTCTGCAGGGAAGAGGGACGCCGTGGCGCGCAATGAACTGAAGTTCTGTCAGCACTATCCTTATCCTCAGGGCAGATGTTTTTATTTTTTCGGCTTATAATTCCTTACTAAATGTAGTATTTCATCTCGATGTACTCCATCTCTGATATGATTTAAATCAAATTCCTAGTCATTATAATTCGCTTCTGATAGTGAAGAAAGTGACACAGAGGTTATTGAAAACGAAAAAATTTCGATTGACAAATTAGTCGGTATTCT